GTTTTCTTTTCTTTAAAAGTCCTTATCATGTAATGTAATTAACTTAAATTTAATTAGCTAATTATCTCATTTTTAGTGATATATAACACTTTAATAATGTAATAATTGAACATACAGCGGTTTCCTTTATGAAACAAAGAGCTGAATCCAGCAGTAATACTGAAGAATATCAGACAGTTTTATATACTCACACTGAAGCGCTGATGATGATGATGATGATGATGATGGTGTAAATATGTTTATATCATTAATACTGTAGTTGTCTGGATGAGTGTGGAGTAAAACTTGGCTTTAATCCGCTCTGACTCTCTGCACACCTGCAGTGAAGCTCATATACGCAAAAGTTTGGGCACCCCTGGTTACTGACCTGTTGTTCTAAGTAAAAAAAAGATCATCCTCTACAGAGAACAGCACATTTTCATGCACAATCACTGTTTATGTGCTGAGTATAAAACATTGGGGAAAAATAAAACATAAAATGTGGCTGTGCAAAAGTTATGGCACATTTTGTATTTTATGTTTTTTTTTTCCCAATATGTTAAGCTCAGCATAAACAGTAAGCAGTAGTATTAAAAGTTAAAATAAATGTCATATTTCAGTGCGTTCTCTACAGCGGATATGTTAACTTCGACAAACTAAACACCTAATTTGACCAGGGTGTTAAAACTTTTAAACACAACTGTAGGCACGGGAAATACGAGATTAATGTAGCAAAAGTTATGGCGCATTTTATATTTTATATGTTATGTTTTATAGTTATATTTATGCACACAAACAGAATTCCTAAGATTTTCCACTACTATAAACAAAGACTTCATAACAACAACAGCAACTATTAGTATCTGTGATTTACAAAAGAAACTAAAGCAAATAAGGATAATCACCTAAACCAACAGCACAACACCGCTCGGAAAATCAGCACAAATACACTCCGAAATAAATACACACATGCCTCGAAATAAACTGTTGACCAAACAAAAACTATGTAATAACTATGTAATTATTATGATTGAATTTTAGGTTAGCGTTAATAACAAAAGCAACAGTAACATTCTGAACTATGATTATCAGATATAAAAAGATCATTCTTTAAAAGAAAAACAACAACAATAACAACAACAACAACAACAACAATAATAATAATAATAATAATAATAATAATAATATAATGATAATAATAAATATTATTATTGTTTTCATTGACAGTATGTCCGTTGATTTGGTTATTAAAGGTTATGATTATAATTATGAAACATTATTAATCATCTTGCAATGTATTTTAAAATATATTACTTGAAATTGAATGTAGAAATAAACTTTTTTTCTTAAACGGCTTAAATTTTTTAATCGGTTTTATATTCGCATATTATTCTATTCTATTCTATTTTATAGCTGCTTATTTTTTTAATTTTCGTTTAATTTCGTTACGCCGAGTGATGTCATTTATTGTAGGCTATGCACTGATTATATTATTTTCCAGTGATGCTTTTATTACATATTTCTGTAATTCGTTTATTCTATTTTTCAGTCATTCATTTGTTATATTTTGCAATAATTAATATATCATCTTTAGCAGTAATTGATTTAGAATATTTTGCACTGATTGACGGTGGAAGCGGCAGCGCGCGCTGTGTGACGCCTTGGCGTTCGTTCCCGCGCGTTCACACAAACAAACAAACAGGATTTCTACGCGCACAGATAAAAACAGTGCTGAATAACAATAAACGATCAATCTCATCAACCAATCAGAAAACGAACAGAAACTATAAACCCATATTAACTAATACAGCAACCACAGCCATGATGCCTCAATTAACGACCATGATAAACTCATTAACATATTAATTACAGTTAATCCTCTAAGAATTAATGAGATCAAATAACACAATAAATGATAACTAAATATAAAAACAACATAATAACACAGTAAAAGCTCAGCTAATAAGTAATGATAAAGCTTTTCTCTCTAGAGGCCCACTCCAGCCCCCTCCCCCCAGACGCACGCGCACGCACACACACTCTGATATTTGACATTGTGTCGGTGCTGTGTGTGAATTAATATCTAACGAAGCATATAAACAACAAATATCAACACAAACACGCGCGTGCACACACACAGTCACACACAGTCACACTGTGATGCTGCGCGCGCTCTCACCTGCACTCACAGGAACCCACAGGAGAAAACACACACACACTCACACACACACACTCTTACACACTCACTGAGAGGTGCGCGAGGCCGCAGGTCCACAGATGAGTCCACGCGCAGGAAAAAAAGGTGCACGAGCTTCAGAGGCAGCAGCATTTTACTGCATATGTGCGTTTGGAGGGACACAAGGAAGAAAGGACCATCACACACACACGCACGCTCACACACACACGCGCGCGCGCCAGATAGAGAGAGTCTTTTCTCTTTTCTTTCTTTTTTTTTTCTTTATAAACACAGAACTGCTTTTTGTTCCTCATTTTTTCATTTAAAGTGGAGGGGGGGGCGCGTTTGATCACATGATTACAATTCACCTGAGATAAAACAAAGGACGCACAGAGAGAGAGAGAGAGAGAGAGCGAGAGAGAGAGAGAGAGAGAGAGAGAGAGAGAGAGAGAGATGCTCTCGTGCATCTCCTTATCACACTCCACATTCATGGCTAATGAAAAAGTCAGTGATTTTTGGAGGTGGGGGGTGGGGGGGACGCTAGACACAAACACAGGGCCTTATTGTTGGGCAGAACAGCGCGCGCGTTTGTGTGCGCGTGAGACCCCCCCCCACCACCAACTCCATCTCTCCTTTCACTATAGGCTATTCTCTATATTCTCTCTACGTTCTGTCTATTTGCTGTACTGGGTCGTTTTTTTCCCGCGCTCGGTGTGTTTACAAACACTTTTCGCGCTCTATGCTGTTTAAAAAAATCAGCTTTCAGATGCGCGCGTGCGGTATAACGCACCGGCTAGTGCGGTCGGGGGGTGTGCAGAGCGAACAGAATTCCAAGAAAGAACGCTGGAAATTCCTAAACAAACCAACAAACAAACAAACAAAGAAAAAAAACGTAAAACCCCCGTCCAAAGCATGCCTTGGTTCTTCAAGGGTTGTAGTAAGGCAATGGTTCTATTTAGACACGAGTGCTATAGAGACCCATTTCATGGTTCTTTGCCTGGTGAAATGGCTCTTCAGATTGGTGAAGAATGTGTTGCTTGTGGTTCTTTTTGAAGATGGTTTCATACAGCACCAAAAAGGGTTCTGCTATTGTTACAAGCTTGACAAAACCCCTTTCGGTGCTATATAGAACCATATATAACACATTCTCCATCCATCTGAAGAACCATTTCACCATGCTAAGAACCATTTTTTCATGAAATGGTTCTATATAGAACTCGTGGTTCTAAACAGAACCTTTCTCTTTACTAAAGAACCCTTGAAGAACCATCTTTTTAAGAGTGTAGAAGGCCTGCAGGCGGCAAGGCGCGCGCTGACGGAAAAGAATTGGAGGAAAGAATGTGTGGGAATTCAAAACTGGAAAACCGTTAAAATCAACCGAAATTAACCGCCGCTCGCGCGCTGACGGTTATTTTCAAAATGTTTAGAACGTTGTTTCAGATCCGCTTCTGATTATTTCAGCTCAGTGTGAAATGAATGAAGAAACTGAGATTTAAACACAACAACAACGACAGGCTGTTATTTACTGAGGCAGAATCTCTTCACTGCTCAGTAACTGCCACAGATATGGAGTCTGTCCGATAGAAATGCGCAGAAAAGCAGTTTATTGATGCTAGTTATCCGGCTAACTGAGAAACCTGCTTTATTAAATATGTCCTGTCAGTAATATTACTACTATTACTACTATTAATAATAATAATCATAAAAGAGCGCCAATAGTGAAGACTGTACTGCGCTCAGCAGGTGCGCGCGCTCCAGGCATCCCGTTGTCTCGGGGCTCGCGCTGCCCCTGTGGGGGGTAACAGAGCCCGTGGGTATCTGCCCCCTCACTGCCTCCCCCGATCGCCCCCACTGCCCCTTAGTGACCCCTCGGGAAGAGATGTTAGAGCGCGCGGGACAGAACTGAGAGGAGATGAAAGAAGCCGCGAGGAACATTCAGACGTTCAGACAGTAACGGACACCTGAAGAGCGGTCAACGCTGAACACTGGACACAGCTAAAAACCAAGAGCTGCTCCACAAACTCACTAAAGGGCTTATTAAATGAAATATTTTATACACATAGAGCGCACTAACTAAAGAAAGAACAAACAAAGTGAAGCACAGCATGATGAGCTTCATAAACACACATCTGTCAGCATCACAGAGTGGAGTGAAATATTAAAACATGATTAATATGATAAACGGTTCTATGTTTATAAGTTTAGCAGCTTTTTATGTTTTAAAAAAGGTGATACATTAACACTGTGCAAAGCTCTTAACACATGAAAATACTCTTAAATATGAGACACAGGAGTAATTTACACGTATATACACAATGTGAGTCTGGAAAAATAATAATACATAAACTGGATGTGTGTATTTTATACGTCAATATCACTGCATTGTTTTTATTGCGTTTCTGAAAAAGAGATCCTGTAATAAAGTGACTGAGGGAGAGCTGTGACTTTTGTTTTAGGACATTAATTACAATCACTAAAACGCTTTGAAACTGCCAATTAGTCAATTTGTACAGGCTTTGTATTTATTCATTAATTTAAAAATACCAATAACGTTAAAACAGGCTAAATACATAAAAGTAATACAAATGAATCAAAAACTAATCGTTTTAAAGATTGTCTCGACAAATTGCATTAAAAAAGTAATTAAAGGTAAAAAGCTCTGACTCTTCAGGAGTGTCTCTGGAGCTGATTGGTTGCAGTAGTCCCGCCCCCTCTGACTGTCAGCTAATCAGTGACGCGCTAGCGGCGTGAGGGGGCGCCTTCATCATCAGCCAATCAGCGGCAAGCTGCTGCAGCTTTAAGAGACTTTTCTAATTTTTTTCCACAGATCGTTTTTCTGTTTTTTTCTCTCGCGCACAACGGCGCTCTTTAAGTCCCGCGCGCAGCACAGAGAGCGCATTCATACAGCAGCACACGGACACGCGCAGCGGAGAGAGAGAGAGGGAGAGAGAGAGGGAGAGAGAGAGAGCTAGAGAGAGTGGGGTAAGAACATTATTAAACTCTATTATTGTTATTAATTTTATTATTAATATGTTACAGGGAGCGCGCAGTAAGTGTTAACATCAAACTGTATTATTATTATTATTATTATTATTATTACTATCATTATTATTATTATTATTATTATTATTATTATTATTATTATACTAGAGACAGTGCGGAGCTTCATTATTGCTATTATTAATATCACATTATTACTATTAGGATTGTACGAGGTCTGCGGTTTGAATTTTACAAATAAAAACTTTTAAAAGCTGCGTTGAATATAAAATGTTTAATTAAATATTTATTTTTATTATTATTATTATTATTATTATTATTATTATTATTATTATTATTATTATATTTGAGCTCTTATGAAACTTATAAACTAAAGCGTCTTCCTAAGGAGCTCTGAATAAAAACACGCTTAATAGACAAATAATCATTTCAAAATAATTAAAAAGCTTAAAAGTGTAAAAAGTGTAAAAGTACTGAAACAGACGGGATTTTAGCTGCGGTGACGGAAACATTCCGTATTTTATTAGACTTATTTATTTATTTAGAGTTTTCGTTATCAGGAACATTTAGCAGAACATTTCAGACGCACTTTCAGCTTCAATTATCAATGTTTGCTATTCATTTTGCGTTTTCTGTAATTATTTGTGCATTAATGTCTAGCAGTTCCGGTTTTTCTTCACTCGGAATAAACAGAAACGCTGAGAAACGCCTTAAGCATGTTGATAAATATATAGTTGCGGTAAGTTTGCGCTGCAGTGTGTTCAGGTTCGGTGTGTGAAAGTTTTCGCTCCTGAGAGAGTGGGGCCGATTTTGCTCCGGCACGCGGGAATTAAGGGCAGATAATTAGAGAATTATGCAGCGGAGCGCGAGCCACTCAAACATGCAGAACAGGGTCACACAGTACAATAACGCTGAATAAACAACAATACACGATAAATAAACAAGAAATAACAACAGCACATCATAAACACACCGTAAAGACACAGTAAGGCAGTGTAGTGCGGAGTTTCACTGAGGCTGAAACTCTCTCTGCAGTTAAACAGCAGCTCTGCACTCAGATGCGTCCATTAAATAAAACTCACACACTGAGGCTCTGTTCAGCGCGAGCAGACACACACACACACACACACACACACACACACACACACACACACACACACACACACTTCATTCAGGCATGCGTGGAAACCTGTAATTATCTATAAATAAATATATTGAATATATATAATTAAATAGAACATTAAGCCATTCAGTGTACAGGTGATGACATAGAATAAACAGACAGTCAGACAGATAGATAGATAGATAGATAGATAGACAGACTGACATATATACGTATACACACACACACACACACACACACACACAGACTGACACAGATTCATAGTATATACACATTATCTGTATATGTATGTGTATACACACACACACACACACACACACACACACACACATACAGACTGACAGATCGATAAACAGATAGATAGATAGATAGATAGATAGATAGATAGATAGATAGATAGATAGATAGATAGATAGATACCTTACTGATCCTAAGGGGATATATGGGTGCCAAAAGTCAAAGACAAAATGCAAACATCATAAACAAACACATAGACACACAGAAACACAACACAAACACACAAACATGCACAGTACATGTAAGACTTGACATAATATGATATCTAATAAAATACTAAGGATATACGTCAGTTAGAAGTGTATGTTGATACATAATATGATTTTAAATGTAATATATTTTGCTGTTTAATGTAAGTTTGTAAGGAATAATTTAGTCTATAGTCTACAAAATGTGAAATACGAGCTGCTGTATTACAATATGCCTTAATCTATGTATAATAATATGATTTGGGTACTGCATTGTATGTAAGTTTGTGTGTTATGATATGCCTTGATATATAATATGAATTGGTTTATAATTTAGTGTGTTAAATTGGTACTAATAATGAATTGGTTGATGTCGGTTCAGTATTATCTCCAGCCTCCTGTGATGTGTTGGCTTAATTAAGAGCTGGTTTTGGGTGTGATTAAAAGAGTGTTTAAGGATGGACGGTGGCTGTCTATCTTATTGGGCAGCTGAGAAACAAACGGTGACAGAGAAGAGAATACGCAGCCTATACTGTCCCCAGTTAGTGCATACAAGCAGGGCCTTTTCTCTTTATCATTAGTAATTGACACATTAAAGAAGAAACAATGTTAATGGTTAACCTGTCAGTGTTGAATATACTGTGGTTTCTAGCTGTACTGTGAAGCTAAAAGTGAAGTTTCAGAGTGAAACTTCAAAACTAAGCTGTAATATTTCTATACAGAGTGAGACAGTTAGCCATAGAAGGCTATAGCTTGTACCTCTAGCAGTGAACACTGACCAATTCAGTGGCGCAAATGCACACACACATACACACACGCGCGCGTGGTTAGTGTTTCCTGCAGCGGCCCGCCCGCGTGTTTACCCAGCCGGGTCGGTATGAAGCGGGGCCCTGTGCTGCTGCGGACGCGGATTATTCCAGCACTCTCCCTCCGGGGAGCTTGCAATAACTGCCAAACCTTAAACAGTAGCTTGTTAGCGGGAGACAGGCCTAAACTAGAACAACACACACACACTTACACACACACCGCGCCAGGGCGGCGGACGCCACCATATGATTGCGAAGTGGCCCTAAAAAATCTCGAATGAATTATGAATTCATTTACCTCGGCCTTTTGGAGTGTTTGTGGCACTGGCACTGCCTGACCAGACAATCTGTAGGTCTGCATATGATGTTGAGTGCTAAGTGATGGCTGTCTCAGATCGGCTCCTGGGTCAGTGCTGTTTCTGTACATTTGGGGGCTCGAAGCCATATTCTGCACACACCCACCCCAATCATGTTTTTTGAATGCAATAAGATTTAATATCTAATTCATTTTGATAAGAAACTAGGTAAGCATTTTTGACAAATGACATTAAATAAATTAGGGCCCTCTGGTGGGTCAGGGACCCTAAGCAATTGATCATACCGCTTATAGCTAGATATAGCCAGTTTATAGTGAACAAATTGGGGTGTTTAGTCATTTTCGGGGATATTTCTGTGTAGACCCTAGTTTAGACCCTAGTGCACTGTCCATTCCCTGGCATGCATTCCAAATGAAACCAACCAACAACAAAAGTGTAATAATAATTTATGATCGTGGCCGGATCTCCCACCATTCCAAACATTAACATGACTGCGTGAACATTTTTAAGTACCTTCTAAATGTTGGTGTTCGTAAATGTTGAAATGAATAATATGTTGTCAGTATTTGTGAGGTTCTAGGCTACTTCTGCTAACGTAGCCAATCAGTGAGTTAGCATCTGGCTCATTGTTATAATATCATTATTGAGTGTCTTGTTTGTTAATTTTTGACATTGTCAAATTTCCAGAAGGGTTGAGGTGTCCCAACGTTCCAGTAAATCTAGTCTCCATTATCTGGGTTGACTAATTGTATTGCCCTAGAGCACTGGAATGCCAGCCACCCTTTTTTTCTTAGATTTTTTTTTCTATCAAAATGAGTCACCTAATTTCATTCTAAAATGGACTAGACTTACTGAAACATCAGGACACTCAACCCTTCCAGAAAATATGTGACATCACATGTAAACACTCAACACTAAAAAGAAAGTAGCACTCACAGAAAGTAGCAGCAGTCTAACTGCTAACTGGCTAAATGTAAACAAAAGGTTGACTGAGTATTAGTACTAGTGCTGGAATACTGGAATGGTTGGGGAATTAGCCACCGTCATGAATTAAATTTGTGAATTTATGGGAATAAACTCCCAGTTAAGCCACTAGAACATGAAATGAACTTGAGACACACCCTTGGTCATGACCAAATCTGGTCACCCACTTTGTTTTGTGAATAGTAATTCCCTACGTAGGGAACTAGGGGCTGATTTGATACCTTATTAGATTCATACTGCAATGTTTTAACCTTCTGTCAATTTCTTTTACAGAGTCACACATCCTTCAATTATTCAGAACACCAGCAGCCTGACTGCGAAGGCCAAGCAGAAAGGAGGTGTTTGAGGGGAGAGTGTTCAAAGAGACGTCACACGAATGGAAAGAACTTTACAAAGAAATAAAGTTGCCCTAATGGCCAAATTAGCCCAGTAAAGGGTTTACTGACATATATAAAAATAAAGAAAAACAAATCTTTCAATTAGGTGGAGAACTTTTCTCCAAACTAAGTGGCAAAGGTCAGGGGTCAGTGAAAACAACAGCCGTTTGGTAGTTTTACCAGTGAGTGAGTGAGGGAAGATGTCTGGAGAGGAGCAGAGTCTGTCTGAGGTAGACATGAGTCCAGGAGTTTCGGATGATGGTCATTCTATGTCCCCCTGTCACTCATCCCATGCCGCAGGTGGGGGTGACTCCCCCCTGCCTGGTCAGCAGCCCCAGCTGACCAGTGAGGAGGCCTCCAGGTTGTCCAGCAGCATCCAGAACAAACCTGAAGAGGAAGATGACCGCTTCCCCATCGGAATCCGTGAGGCGGTCAGCCAGGTGCTAAACGGCTACGACTGGACACTGGTGCCCATGCCTGTGCGCGTCAACTCGGGCAGCAAGAGCAAGCCGCATGTGAAGAGGCCAATGAATGCCTTCATGGTGTGGGCGCAGGCTGCTCGGAGGAAACTGGCCGATCAGTATCCACACCTTCACAACGCAGAGCTCAGCAAAACACTGGGCAAACTGTGGAGGTGAGGTCAAAATTTTATTCTCTATCGCATAAACTCACACATATTAACCGTTTTTTCATGAAATACAAAAGTAAATTATACCATGTTAATTGAAATATTATAAACTAGACAAACAGCACTTTAGATAGCTTAGGCAATAACTGAAGAATTTTGTAAACAATGAGATGTAATTAGCCGATAAATAATACTGTAATTATCTACATAATCTACAATTATTTACAATCAGTTTGTTTGCTTTAAGCTTTTAAATTTATTATAAATTCATTCAAAGCCATATGGATAGGGATGTACTGACATGGGAGTTCTGAGCTGATGCCAATTTCTGATATTTTTATGTATATTTTTGTTGATGCTGATACATAAACAAAATCATGAGAAATATCACAATCATTTCTATGGTGTTACTAGTGTGTTAAAATGAATAAAATGCAGACATTTTGATGCAGTAGTACAGCGTCTTCTCATCCGGAGCACAATTAATGTGATCAAATATCAGTTTGAATTATTGGACAAATATAAACTTCTGTCTTAGACTAATCATTTTTTGTCAATATATATTTAATAACTATTTATTTGCCAACACTCATTGAATTCTGGTATTATTGTGCATTTCTACTATGGCTTTTCCCATCATTTTATAATCATCTTCACCTTGTTTATTGCTCTGGATACACCTAAAACTTTTTATAGTTTCCTACAAATGATCTGTGAGGTTGTTGAGTAGTAGCTATATGATGATAGCAATAAAAAGATATTTACCAGTTTTCATCATATTCCATTAAAATACGCTTTTATAAGTACATTGTGAATGTCGTCACCAACTGCATTTGCCATTACAAACAGGACATAATTAGTCATGTGGAGAATTGAAACGTTGGATAAAAATCATTGTATTCATAGTTTTAAAAGTATTTTAAAATGTGACATTACAGAGTTTTATCTGTTCCAACTTATCAAACCTTAGAAAAGTTAAATATTGTGCTGCATATTGTGTATCATGAAAAGGTTTTGAAAGTGATGTGATAAGGTATTTTTGCCAAATTGCCCAACCCTCGTAGCAGCATCATATTAGGATCACTTTATAAATATTTAAACAACAAAAATGGTTTTATTTTAATGAAAACATCAATATAACTTTGAAAAGTCCTATTTTTTTGTTTTGATTGCTTGGCCCATAAGAGGGTCAAAGGTTAAATTTAAGTTAGCCTTGATCCTTCACTGTCTATTGCAGCCCTGATTGTTTTTCCAGCTTCAGAAATTTTTTTGCTTGGGGGTCCAAAGTTCTGTTTGTGGTGAGTTGAGGGTCAAAAAAGGCAACAGTATGCAAATATATGCAAATAAAGAAAGTAGTTAAGTTGTATTTTAGAACATTACAGTTTATTAATATTTTTATTTAAAAAAAAAGTAATATTTTAGAGGGGTGGGTCAGGGTAACTTTCTGGCAGGCTAAATCAAACATCCAACACTTCGACCAACACTTTGGGCAGCCCTGATCTACAACATTTCCAATGTATAGTATCATGTCACTATAATGATTTCAATGTAAGGTATTATAAAACATTTTATTCCGAGTAATTTTGGACATTTCTGTAGGTGATTAGTCCATTCATTTTCAAATTTTCATACACTTTAATGGGCAGGTGGTATTTTCAAATTATGTTGTAATTGAAAACAACAAAAACAGAGATTTAATTTCAATAGCAACAACATATTTCAATGTTTTTCCTTTTCTAACATGCCTTTAGATGTGTCAAAGACGTAAACACACTCAGGCTTTCATACGAGGATAGTGCTCATGCTGAAACATGATAGATAGTGGGGTATGTGGCTCAAACACACCTTCTGTCTGAATTCCCTGAGAACGTTAAACATGCTGGACCAAACACAGCTCAGCCAAGCCAGATTAGAGAGGCTCATGAGAAAAATCCTTACTAACAACAGTACTGACCAGCCTAATGATCACTGCACCCTCATGACACACTGCACATGTGTGTAATGGTGTGTGGCATTTCAATATATTTCTAGATGGGGGTATGTACACCTAGCCTTACCCCCTCCCACACATGCACAAATGCTTAATCATTCGGGTTCACAAAAATTAGCCCCAAACAAATAATAAAATAAACAAGTCTAATAAATATCCTACCTGTTTCAATACCCATTTTAATATGCCCCCATCCCTTGGGGGAATCCCAAACGCCAACCTAAGGGCTATTCCATTACTGTGTTAGCTTAAGAATGATGAGCTCACTGATGCCAACCTAGCTGAGGGCAAGTGCGTTCTGACTTAAAAATCAGCTACTCACTGTCCCCTCCCCCATATGATGTGAGTGGCCACTTGTGCAAATTTTTGAGTGGTCAGTCAAACTTGGTGAGGACAAATTAAAAATAGTACTAAAATGAGTCTTTAGACATGGCAATAGTGATTTCTTATTTGATTCATTTCTGATTTCTCCTTCAACCATGCAATCCAGTTCCTACCCCAAATCAGGGGGTCCCACACATCGCATATTTCTGTGTGCTTTTCTGCTCTAATGCCAACTCATTAGTTAATTGTGAAGGCCCTGTGCATTAGAGCAGAGAAAACACACAGAAATGCACAGGAACTGAGACTCAGAATCACTCAGCGCTTTAGAAAAGCTCACAGCAGTACTAAAACCCCAGCTAAAATCACATAGTGTTAAAGAAGGTTTAAGATATTAAGACTTTAAGGCGTGTTACAGAAGAAACGAGGCCATGGTGCAAAAGCTTTACTGCAGTTACAGTCTGCTTGCTTGTTTGTTTTTTGCTGTTATCAGTAATGGCAACATGACATGGTTATATTAGTGGACATAATCTGTCATGACATCTCATGACAGCATGTCATATTGACCATAACATGTTTATGGCATAGCTTTGTCAATGTTATGTAGCAGTGTTCAAGTAAAGTGTTACTAAAACTTATTATATATCCTTCATTTCTCATGATGGCGTGAGCAAAGGGAGTATAAGGATGTAATTGTGTTTTTTGGGTTCAAGCAGAGGTCAAGAACTTTCAACTCAGCATATACAATCTCTCTTTGACTCATTCACATACACTAAATTCTATGCTTTTTAAATAGTTTTTGTTTTGCTTTCTACAGCACTTTGTAACATAAGCCCTTTTGGTTTGGTTTTATTAAGTCAGGTAAAATATTTGATTGCTACGCAAAGCAAAACAGCAGTTCAGATAAACAAAAGCAATATTTAGTACAATCAGTACAGTCAATAAAAATCTCACAAACATTTAAAAAGAAACTTCAAATCAATTTGAGTGTTACTCTCCTTCAATCCAGTCCAGTCTCACCACACTGTAGAGTTCAGTGTGCCTGACACCCTCTGCACAGCTGAGAAGTGTTCTAGCCAAACTGTTATTTGCACTAAAATGTTTTTCACAATTACTGTATCATTCCATTAAGTGTACTTTAATACATTTCCACATATGCATATACATATACGTAATATGCAGTTTTCTGAGGTTTGATAAGGTGGAATAAACTATGAATTTAATCAATGTTGTCCTTGAGCTGAAAAGTTAGCTGAAAAGCATTGAATCTCCAGGCCTGGAGTTAGAACCCATCTGTTATATGAACCTGTCTGATATATGAACCGTGTCTTTTTGTGCATCTTGTTCAGGCTGCTAAATGAAAACGATAAAAGGCCGTTTATCGAGGAAGCGGAACGTTTGAGGAAACAGCATAAGAAGGACTACCCTGACTATAAATACCAGCCACGCAGACGCAAGAACGGTAAACCTGGGTCCAGCTCTGAGCAGGATGGCCATGCGGACACTGAAGTCAGCCACAGCCAATCACATTATAAGAGCCTCCACCTGGAGGTGGCCCATGGAGGGGGGGCAGGGTCTCCGCTGGCTGACGGACACCACCCACACGCTGCAGGTGAGGTGCAGGCTCTGGCCTACAGGCATGAGGATGGTGCCACAACTCATATACAGCCAATGTGGCCTCATCCAGCAAATAGTTTTGCTGAAAGCTCTGACACTTAGCATGTGCCATCCACTTGGTTCCTCAGTAAAGCTCCAAATGCAGATGTTCTTAAAAATGTAGACTTGAATTAATGCTACAGGAAACCCAGTTACAAATACTAATGGGTTCCAATCTCAATCCTAGAGATGCCACGCTCTGCACATTTTTGTGTTTTATTGCTACTGACTCAGCTCACAGAGTCTCTGATAATTAGATGATGAGCAGAATCAGGTGTGTTAGATTAGGGGAACACACAAAAATGTGCAGAGCATGGCATCTACAGAACACAAATAAGGAAAAACTGCACTACACTATATACAGAGTACATCCCACTATATATATATATATATATATATATATATATATATATATATATGTATATATATATATATATATATATATATATATATATATATATATATACGATACACTCCTACTACAACACCCTGTCTGCCTACCATTTCATCACAAAAATATATTCAACAATGTGTGATGGAGAGTTTTAGATTTTCATATTATTATAATCAATATTCTAATATATACACCCAATATTCCAATTATAAGAACCAATATTTAAATTGGTAAAGCCAACATACAAATTATTAGAACCAATATCCCAGTTAATAAGTTTATTATCTTTTAATTACTAGGACCAACATTTTCATTGCAAGAACCAACATTCCAGTTATTAAAACCATTTCATTTATTAGAATAAGAATTTCAATTATTAACCGTTTCTGGCAATAACCCTTAACGTTTTTAATGCATTGAACAATAATGAAATTGAGTCAAAAGTTATCTAAATAAAGATGCAAACCCATCACAACTCAGATACATCACAGACCAAAATTTCAAAATTTCAGAATTTTTCAAGCTTCAAAAATACTTTACAGTTGAATCAGTTTGCTAGCAACCAACACAAAACATGTTCACTGGCATTTAGTTTCTCCATTGACATTTCAGAATATTCTATTGGTTTTGTGAAACTGTTACTGTAGTGAATTCTTTGGGAAAAGCTGTCCTGTCTTTGTTGATCTTAAATTAAGCAGTTTTTAAAATAATAAAATGTGCATCAGATTATCTGAATCTCTCCAGCATTCTATCTGACCTGTATTTGTTGATCTTTTTGGGTGCAGGTCCAAACCACAGCCCCCCAACTCCTCCCACTACCCCCAAAACAGAACTCCAGGGTGGCAAATCCGGAGAAGGGAAGCGAGAGGGTGGGGCCAGCAGTCGGAGCTCTCTGGGGGTGGGGTCAGATGGAAGCTCTGCCTCCTCCTCTGCTTCTGGTAGTGGCAAACCACACATCGACTTTGGTAATGTGGACATTGGCGAGATTAGCCATGAGGTGATGGCAAACATGGAGCCTTTTGATGTCAACGAGTTTGACCAGTACCTGCCGCCCAATGGCCACCACCAACAGGGCTCAGGGGCATCAGCAAGCTCAAGCTCCGCCTCCTACTCTTACGGAATCTCCTCGGCACTAGCTGCTGCTAGTGGTCACTCTGCTACCTGGCTGTCCAAACAGCAGCAGCATTTGGGCTCAGATAGTGGTGGGAAGACACAAATCAAGAGCGAAACACATTTTTCCAGCGAAGCCACGCCCGCCGGCTCTCATGTGACCTACACACCACTCAGCTTGCCACACTACAGCTCGGCTTTCCCTTCGTTGGCCACAAGGGCGGCGCCGTTCGCTGATTACGCCGAGCACCAAGCATCCAGTTCCTATTACGCCCACTCCAGCCAGGCGTCCGGCCTTTACTCTGCCTTTTCTTACATGGGCCCTGCACAAAGGCCACTTTACACCGCCATCACTGACCCTGCTTCTGGCCCCCAGTCACACAGCCCCACCCACTGGGAACAGCCCGTATATACCACCCTCTCTCGACCGTGACACACACACAAACACATCCAGCCAGAGACGGACACATAGGCACGGGGGGTGAAGAGGAGGCGGAAGAAGATGATGATGATGATGATGATAATGATGATGATGACGAACATGCTGGCCTGAATGGAACACCCCCAGTAACACAGCCCCACCCACTGAGAACAGCCTGTATTTACCAGCCACTTTCAACAGTCTCACACACACATACACAAGCTGCCAGAGACATAAGCACAGGGGTAAAGAGGATGATGATGAGTATGAAGAGTATACATTGGACCTAAATAAAAACATTTAGGTAGGAGGTGAGCGAGATATGAATGGAAAACAGGTCACTTATAGGGGGGTAACATGTGGGTTGATTTGAGCAAAGGGTAATCAGATTCAGACAGATCCTTTAAAGCGATAGTTTGGCAAAAAATCTACAATTTCCCTCTTATCTCAGTTGTAGATAATCAACCAAGACATGTTTGGTGACTTCAGTTTATTTCTTTAGCTCATTTAGCTACTTTTCAAATTTGATTCCTTTTATCTCTTTCTTTTCCATATCCTTCTAATTAGCATCATGCTACACTACAACCTTAGACTACACATTTGCCTTGTTGAGCTGTTAAGTAATCTTGAAAAGACCTGCTTATGTGGTTTCTGACACTGTAAGACACACTTATCTATAGAATTTGAAAAAATTGCACTGGTTAGGAATAACGTAGCATTACTTGTTAGCGACATTAGCCTCATAGCTCTAGAAACTAAAGAAGCAAACTTAAGACACCAAACGTGGCTTATTGACTACATTTTGGGCTAAGAGGAAGAACTGTGAAAATTAGAGTTTTTGCTGAATAGAGATTAATAAGCAGATTTGACTTTTAGGGTTGATTTCCTAAACATGGATTAAGCCTAGTCTTGGACTATATGACATTCTGAATGGAGAATCTCTACTGAAAAGACAATGTAGTCCAAGATTAGGCTTAACCTCTGTCTGGGAAACTGAACATTAATGTGTTTGTACAAAGTATATTCTCATCTTGTTAAATGTACATGTCCATCTCAGGCGCACATCCTTACAGGCCATAATTACAGAACAGCAAACTTTCCCCAGCACACTTTCATTGCTTTCGTCTCAATCTGAACACATTCACAAAAACCAGCAACACACTTCACACAAAATTCCATGTTACCGAGAAGTACTGACCAAAGTTTTGAGACCAAAACTTTACACTCAACAGTCACGAACACACACATGCGCTGTTAGCCTGGTCCTGTTAGCCAGTTGCCAAATAATTTATGCCAAGCCCCCACCTCCCCCCGACCACAGCCTGATGGCCCAATTTTTCCGCTCCAGTTTGGCTGGATTTGGAGCGATAGTATTTTCTCCAGCACTGACGTGGACACGAGCACTGCCTTTACAAAAACACGGAAATGAACCCGAAAGACTGTTTCACCTGTACATTTAAGTGTTGATCTTTTTTTATGAATTAATATTTCTTTCCTATTAACCAAAACAAGGCCATTTTGTTTATATATAAATATATAAATTTCTTTGTTATAATCTTTACTGTTGATGATGTCCTCGTCGGTTTTTGTTGCCATAGCTACACTGAAGCACCACCACCACTGTCCTGCCTTTTGTTAATGAAGTTAGTTTTGACTTTCATAAATATGTATATATTAGTGTCAAAGATAGATGTGTAGATATTACATTAGTTCAGTAACAATTGTTGCTCATTTTTAATGCCTTTCTTTATTTTATTACCATAAACAAAGAGAGAAGAGAGGATACTGAATGCCAATTTGCCTTATTCTCCACCAAATGTGCCTACAATAGACTGAGACATAATGGAAAGTGAATATATTGTGTACAAAAGCATTTGGGCCAATCTGATGCATTTGTGTCTGTTTTGGTTTATATAAAACAATGTGAATGTTTCTTTCATAAGTGCCAGAGAAATCAGTTATCGAAGTAAATGATGCAATAATTCAAACTTTTATCATGAAAAATGTAATCTATTCTTATCTCAGATATGTAGTCATATGATTATGTGACCCCACACAATCTGAAAAAAAGCTGTTTGGATGGAGGTTCATTTGATAGACTGTTTATTTAACTCTCTTTTTTTTTTTTCTTTGTCTCCTTCTGACCATCTGATTTTGACTTTACTGTTTTGTCTGTCTTTATTTAGTATTAGTATTTTAAAAAATACAAACACTCAATTTTAGAGCTTACATCCTACGGTAGGTGGAGCTTGTTATATATTACAGAACTATTTATATTTGCTGGTATTATGTTTTTATTCACTCTTAATTGTTTTTTCTTTCTTCTTTCTGATGTGAAGTGTTTTTGTTGTGTTGCGTACTCGCTGTATGTTCTTTTGTATTTTGCGCAGGTAAAGGTGTTCCAGTGTGAATAACAGGGTGGAACAGTATAGACACTAACGACCCTTCACTAAATAAAGCTCCATTTTGTCTGCTTTTGTATGAAAACCTTCTCTCGTCATGTATCATGTGTGTATCATGCACACACATACAAAGAACTATTAAGACTGCAGGTAAATATCCTAAATAAAAGAATTAAAAAAATAAATTTACTAATCAGAAAACAAGTGTATTAAAGTAAACAGGGCATTTTGGAGTAAGGCGAAGAGTTAGGCTGCCTGGAGGCCCTGATGTGGGAAAACGAGGCCATCACTATACAACATTTAGTTTCCAGGTTAAACGCTACACTACTGAGCTGGATTGTGTTGTTGTTACTAGTTGATGCTAAAAAGGTTGTAAACAACAACATGGCCACCATGCTAAAAGATAGTACACCTGTTGTGTCCACAGAGAGAGAGACACACACAGAGAGACTGAGAGACTGAGAGAGAGAGACTGGGAGTGAAAGACACAAAGAGACACTGAGATAGACAAAGAAAAAGAGAGAGAGAATGAAACAGAGGCTGAAAGAGACAGAATGACATACACAGATAGAGACTGAGAGAAAGAGAGAGAGAGACAGAAAGAGTGAAAGAAAGACACAAACAGAGAGAGAGAGAGAGACACTGAGGAAGATGGAAATAGATACAGAAGGAGAAAGACTCACAGAGAAGGAGTCAGAAAAAGAGAGAGAGAGAAAGAGAGACTGGGAGAGAGTGAGATAGAGAGAGAAAGAAAGGGAGAGACAGTGAGAGTGAAAGAGAGAGAAAGACAGACCAAAAAAACATTTCCCAGCAGTCCTTGGGGCTGGACGTGAGCGCCTCTTAGGCCAGCACAGTCCCATGCTCTTTATACACACATTCCTGGAAGTGAGTGTGTGTGTGTGTGTGTGTGTGTGTGTGTTGCAGGCTAAGCCTGATTCCTAATTCCCCTCATTTAATCGGCTGTGTGATACTTTACACTAAACAAAGAGAGTCATTCAGCTCTAACGGAGAGAGAGAGAGAGAGAGAGAGAGAGAGAGAGAGAGAGAGAGAGAGAGAGGGCAAAAGAGAGAAAGAGGGACAGAGATAGAGAGCAAGAGAGAGGGAGAGGAAGGGAAGAAAAAATTAAAAGAGGGAGGGGAAGTTTGGGGGGAGTGAAGCTTTGGCCTGCAGCTTTACTGAGATAAAAAGAGACAGAGAGAGAAACAGAAAGACACAGAGGGAGGGTGGGTGGCAGGTGAGAGAGAGAGAGAGAGAGAGAGAGAGAGAGAGAGAGAGAGAGAGTGAGAGAGACATTAATGAGATGAATTATAATTCAAGTATATGAGTTTAATGTGTCAATTTCTCATTACTTTCTCATTTTGTCATCACTTTGTCTAGATTTCAGGCTAGTAGTTAAGTGTACTTAGCAGTGCAATCTGCTCACCTGTGTTTGCTTTGTTCTGATTTAATTACAGCAGTTTATGCAAATCTACAGCATGAAAGATTTCACTCTGATGTTGTGTGCGGGTAAAACATTTTAAACTCAATACACTGTGCAGGATTGTGTGTGATGGTTTAAGAGAGAACAAAGCTGCAGATGATGGAGGCCGGAAGTCAAACTTTTGTACAGTAAAAGGTTTCCTTACTTGGATGGCTTAATGTAAGAAATGTGAGTGAGCCTGTTGTTGTTTGGTCAGGCTCCTTACATTATGTGAGCCCACCTCGTCCTGGTCAATCATGACAATGCTAGATGCACACATTTTTACCAGTGACATGCTGTTACTTATTAATCTAACACAATGGCCCAGTCTCACACTGGACTCTGCTGCATTGCCCTAAAACTGCATACTGCCATACTCTACATACTATACTAATAAATAGAATTTTAACTGCGGTGTACTACTTTTGACGCACTATTTAGTATGAGAGTATGTGATTTTGGACACAGCCACAGTGTCACTGATACTAAGTTCCACTAAAAACACAATACCTGCGAAACCTCATCACAACTAGCCTGTTCAAAAACACAATCAGCACAGCATTTAACAAATAACACTAAATTTATGAAACCTCTGAAAGTAAGATAATGGAAGTCCAGCAAAATGGCACACTAATATCTCGCTGCTGTCGGGACAAAACCTTGTATCTCCAAAATGATAACTTTATAAGAAAAGAAAAAAAAATACTCTACTTTTAATGTAAGTCAATATAAGTGGACTTTTTTCCCCCCAAGTGGGGGACGCTTCTTTTGGTCTGTTCGTCATGAAATTTCCAAACAATGTAAAGGGCAGCAAGCAATTTTCAAATTAGGTCAAAAACTGAAAAACAACAAAAATGAAGATACAAAGTTTTATTCTGACAGCAGTGATATACAGACCTTTAGCCAGAGCTGAAATAGCATAACAACCATAAATACAGCTGTTATAAACTCACCAGACCAGTAAGATGAAAACACTTTGGCATCAGAGCACATATATGTTCTGATTTATTTTAGTTTATTTAATCTGCTGTGGTTATACTTGTTCTTGTTTCCTTTTACAGGGACTCTTATTTTGAAGGGCTAGGTACTGTGTGTGTTTTTAGCAGCTTCAGTAGCTTAACGAGCTAACAGAGTAGAGCTGAGACTAACAGATGGAGATAAAACTACTTGTAGCACCATGTTTTACCTATTTTCTGTTGTCTGTTGCTGAGTTTTCAGTAAAGCTGAGTTTGACCTGTCTGAGTTCCATGGAGAAACTCCCCTGTGCCACAATACTGTAGCATACAATTATAAATTGTAAATTTGAGGGGACTCACCAAAACTGGTCTGTGTCCTATTTAATCATGAGTTATGTCCGCCTAGCATTTCACTTTGTAATTCTCTCAAATGGATTTAAAATGAGCACCTTAACTGTATTCGCCTGTATAAGCAGGTCCTGTTATGTTGGCCTTGTTTACTAAACCTGGTGCCAGAATGTTTCAATAGAAGATAATGTGACCAATCATTTTATAGCAATGTGTTCACTTTGCCTAGCAACGGCCACGGGACTGGTTAAGCGTGTTCTCCCGTTCCTGAAACAGTATTGATCTGCGCTCTTGATTGGCTAATGGCAGCGCACTAAATCAGACAGAGGCTGCTGGTCAGCAGAGACCATGGTTAGTTACGTTGTAAACATGATTTATAAACTAGTATTCATGTTTTCTATCCTGTAGCCAATTTCACAGATATCATTTAGTAGAAAATGATGTCTTCTTTTTGCTCGTGGTGACCAGTAGAGCGGTGCTCCAGCACTCATAATGGACGACACAGCCCCGCATCGACACATCAAATTAAAGCAGGGAAACAGCTGATTTAGGCCATGAGTTAGAACGATTAACTATCAAGCAGCTGCGAAATCTTGCTTTCTTACCTCAGTCAGAGTCAGTCTTACATAAACACAGACCTCTCCGGTCAGCTTAGGACGGGCTGGATGTACACAGTAATGGCATCAGCGGAGCCGGTTTAAGGGCCCGGCCACTTACTATTTCTCCGGTTATATCAGAAACCTGAACGCCAGAGGGCGCCCGCGAACGAGTTCCGAATGAATGGCAGTAAACGGAGCCAAACGGCTAAAAATTAGTAGGAAAAAAAAACAAAACACGTTGTCCTGAATATTTGTCCAGTAGCTTCCTTCGATTTTGGGAAGTACAAGAGTGTATTTCACTAAAAAAGCAAAGGAATCTTAACTGTACCTTTCCTTTTTTTCTACAGCAAAGGTTCAGGAGGACTATATAGTATTACTGCTACTCAGTGCTGATTGGTTGGCAAGTGGAGCAGTTCATTGGCTGAGTCATGAACGTACAAGAGGCACCATTACAATGTCCTATAACTGGAGTTCAAAAGCACTTAAATATAAGAGTTAAAATGTTTTATGCTGTTCAGGAAATTAACAAATTCTTCTGTATAAATCATTTTTAACCATTTGCAAACTATGAATTTGCTCAAATGCTTCATATTAACCCATTCATTTTGAATTCTAGCCCTCTAGCGTTTGACCAGCCCACAAGACATTACTGAGGCAATTCTGCTAACCACAAATTCTCTGTTGTCATCTCTTATTTGGGTAAAATAAGACCCAAATAAACCCCCAAAAATCCAGCTTTTTCAACCAGCTTAGATTAGGCTACTGTTCACTGGTTTTACAGCCCTTAAAAAGACAATTCTGAACTTAAACGTTATTAATGAAACTTGCTTTTCATGAAAGAGCAAACCTGGAATTTACAACTGCCAGATTAAATCAGGAACATTTTAAAACAGTTCTGCTATGTGATCTATTGTGTTATCATGCGCCTAATTTTACGTTCACTAAAAAAGAAAAGCAAATAAATGATGAATAAAAGGTAAACCTGCTATGTGAATCAAACAGCAGAGAAACAGAAGCAAATGTGCTCTCAGGCCCTTAAAGGGGAATTTCACCGATTTTTCAAAGTTTCTGCATAATTAAATAAAGATTTAAAGTCATTCGCCATGGTTTGACATGAAATGCTCCATTTTAAAGCAACACAGAACTGTTCACAGTTGCAGGACATCTACAGTGTTTAATGCCTCTAGAAGTTGACGTGTATGAGTATCCTACCTGACGCCCAATACAGCATTTTACAATATCACTTAAATAGGTTTTTTTAAAATTGATTCATAGTGGAGAGAAACTTGCAGAGCATTATGAGGCACAATAGTGAACAAAAGAATCTCCATGAAGGATTTAAGTGGTTAATCTGACCAAATACACTGAAGCCACTGGACGTTTAACTAGAGAAAAAAACGTGCATTGGCATTTCAACATTTGGGATTTGTATGTGCATTTTTTTGAAGGCCAACATCACAACTTTTTTTTTTTTTTAAATACAAAAAGTTTAATTTCCACCATTAATAAAACAAACTAAAATTATTTCACACAAAGAACATACCTGAAAAAAATAGTCATAATGTGCTCTGCAAATGTAATTAGCTCCCTCTAGTGGAGGAATCTAAACTTGCAAATACATTACATAGCAAGGTGTGAAAGAATGGTTGCCCTGGGTGCAGTTATGTACAAAACATTTGAAGTTTGCCGTCTTCTCCTTCTTATTGGGTCTGACTGCTGTACTCGTGTGGTTCTAATGCTCACTGATTGTAAGCTCTCCGAGTTGAAAGCTGTTTAGCTTTTGTAGCCTTTATCAGTCACGATCTTGTTGATTCAGTTGGTTTTTGTCCCAGTCAGTGAGTGCTGAGTTGTGTGTCATGGCGCATGTGTTTAGGTTAAACTAGTCGGTAATGATGAGCTCGTCGCAGCCCCAGTCTTCGTAGCTTCCGTCGGGCAGATATCTGCGGATGATGATGGGGATCTTCCTGCTCCTGCCATTAAAAGTACAGTGAGTTCAGAGTTCTCATGAGATTTAAACATGAAAATGTATCAGTTAAGAGAAGCTAATTTGCTTTCCAAAAATTCTACAGATCTTTGTGACTAACTGCTGCACAGTGGCAGGCGTATTAACAAGAGGAGGCCAAGAAAGCAATTGTGATATGTAATGTGATATGTTCTTTATTGGTGCTACTAGAGAAATTTGTCATTTTGGTGCCTAACTATGGGCATTCTTCCAGTCAGCCTGAAATTTGAGGCTGTGACCTTCTGGTTGCTGACCAACCTCTCCTACCACTAAGCAAAGCATATTACAACACAATCACAACAGCGAGTATTATTGATATTATTATTTTTCTTTAAATATTATTATTATTATTATTATTATTATTATTATTATACTACACTCTGAATTTAGCAGAGGCAGTTATTATACATTATGTATAAATACATTATGTATACTTTATGTACATGTTTTTAGGAAAATTATTTTTTGTTTTTACTGAATGTAGACACTGGAGACGGTTATTATTATTGTTATTACTCTATAGATGCAACAAAGGTGGTTATTACTACTGTTGTTATCAATGTGTGGAGGCAGCAGAAGCAGTAAAACATACTTGAGCTCCTTCATGGCGATTTGCAGTGGGTCTGTTTCTCCTTCCAACTCAACCATCACCGGCGCACACATCCTGCGGGACAGGCAGTGATGTTATTTAGCTATTATCTTAAGTCCAAAATCAATGCTATATTAACTATGCATACATCTAGAAAAACTAATTTATGTGTACAATGTTCACCTGTACATTTCTTAACCTCAGCAATGACTCTCTCAAGTTATAGTGTGTACATTTTCTACTGCTATCCTAGCACACATTAGTAAAACTGTTTCCTACTGCATTCCACTTTTAGCTACTTCAAATATGTACAGTACTGTGCAAAGTTTTAGGTCACCTGAGCAAATAAAATTTAAAAAGCTATTTTCTTGGTCAAAATATTTATTTTAGAAAGAAACCACATATTAAATAAATGAAAATAACATTAATACAATAATATGCAATGTAAAATGTAATTAAATTACAAATGTCAATGTGTTCTTTCCACACCTCTATATTAAGTAAATGTGCCTAAGTGCCTAAAACTATTACACCGTACTGTAAACATTATTTTGTTTTTTCTGTTGGAACTGCAACTGAAAAATATTTACTCATTTAGAACTTGATGGCAGCAACGCATCTCAAAAAAGTTGGGACAGGGTCATGTCTATCATTGTGTAGTATCCCTTCTGGGAAGTGAGGAGACCAATTGCTGAAGTTTTGGGAGAGAAATGTTGTCCCATTATTATCTGATGTAGGATTCTAGCTGCTCAACTGTCCTGGGTCTTCTTTGCCAGATTTTTCGTTTCATGATGTGCCAAATGTTTTCTTTTGGTGAAAGGTCTGGACTGCAGGCAGGCCAGTTCAGCACCTGGACTCTTCTTCTGCAAAGCCATGCCGCTGTGATTGATGCCGTATGTGGTTTAATATTGTCTTGCTGAAATATGTAAGGTCTTCCCTGGAAGAGACGTTGTCTGGATGGGAGTATATGTTGTTCTAAAACCTCTATATACTGTTCAGCATTGATAGTTCCTTTCCAGATGTGTAAGCTGCCCACGCCATAGGCACTAATGCAACTCCACACCATCAGAGATGCAGGCTTATGAACTGTGCACTGATGATAAGCTGGATGGTCCCTCTCCTCTTGAGTCCACAGGACATGACGTCCATGGCTTCCAAAAAGAATTTAAACTTTTGATTCATCTGATCACAGAACAGTTTTCTATTTTGGCTCAGTCCATTTTAAATGAACTTTGGCCCAGAGAAGATGTGGCTTCTTCTCTGCACGATACAGCTTTAACCTGCATTTGTGGATTGAATGGTGAACTGTGTTCACAGACAGTGATTTCTGGAAGTGTTCCTGAGTCCATGCTGTGATTTCCAGTACAGAATCATGCCTGTTTTCAATACAGCGAGGGCCCAAAGATCATGAGCATCCAATATTGACCGTCGGCCTTGTCCCTTGCGTACAGGGATTTCTCCAGACTCTCTGAATCTTTTGATGATATTGTGTACTGTAGATGGTGGGATATCCAAAGTCTTCACAATTTTACATTGAGGAACATTTTTCTGACATTGTTCCAAAATGTTTGGACGCAGTTTTTCACAGATTGGTGAACCTCTGCTCAACTTTGCTTCTGAGAGACTCTGCCTCTAAAATGCTCTTTTTATACCCAGTCATGTGAGTTAGTTTTTTTTGCTCCTTCAGCTGTTTTTTTTTTTTTATTAGTACCACTTACTCTGCCAGCCTTTTGTCGCCCCTGTCCCAACTTTTTTTGAGATGCGTTGCTGCCATCGAGTTCTAAATAAGTTCATGTTTTTAATGAAATGGTAAAATGTCTCACTTTCAAAATCTAATATGTGTTCTATGTTCTATTGTGAATAAAATATGGGTCTATGAGATTTGCTAAATCATTGCATTTTTTTAAAATTTACATTTATTTACATTTTACACAGCGTCCCAACTTTTTGGTATTGGGTTGTAAGAATCTTACAACTGTGGCATGAATACACCAAACAGCTTGACCCAAACTACCATATCTTTTAAAAAAAGAAAATCTTAAATCCAAAAAGTGTTTTTAGAGTCTGTGTATGTGTGCATGTGTGAGTGTATACTCACGCGATCTGCAGTGCGCGAGTACCCAGTACTCTCGCTCTCTCATATTTAGTCATGTATGGGGTGGTAATTCTCTTCTGGTTCGCCTGCTGTCCTTCTCCAGCGGGGAGAATCTGCACGTTCTCTTGGTCCTCCTACATACATACATACACACATACACATATACATATACATACATACACACACACACCTCTTAACCATCACGAAATGTGACCTTGAGGTTTCATAGCTCTGCACATTTTAGTGTTTTTATCTTTAATTTGATTACACCTAACTCAATTCACTGGCTAATTATCAAACCATTTTCACCACTAATAACTTTTGTTTCAGTGATCAGGAACAGTCGATGATGAACTCGAATTAGAGTTACAGCACGGAGCTCTTACATCTTCAACATTCTCCAAGTCATCCAGCCCTTCGTCCTCTTCAACATCATCAAAATCTCCATCATCAAAGCTGGAAGAGAGACAGAAGAAGATTACATTAAAGCAACCCTGCAAATCTAAACTACACTAAAGACACAAACCCACACTGCTCAGTTTCCTTTACAAGTCCACCAGGCTGACGGAACTGATCAATCAACATAGACATGAAAAAAGTTTATAAAAAAAAACTGAACTCCCTGACTGAACTCTTGAGTTAAGACTCTAATGGTTAAAACCTACACACCATCGCTCAAAGGTTTGGAATCCCCTGGAATCCCCAAAAGTTATAAATCATTCTATGTAAATAATTTAAGCAATGTAGATTTCAATGTTGCAAGCTGTATGCCAAAAGTAAACCGAAAGTGAACCGAAAATAGGTTATTAAATACAAATAAAATTGTTTATTTACAAAAAACTTGACAGTTTCCCTGGCTTGAGATCTGATCTCCACTATATGATCAACTCTGGATATCAATTTTATTATAATTTCAATTCAACCTATTTAATTTACGCTTTAGCCTACAGCTTTATTAGTCTTTAAGGAATCGTCTACAGCTCTATTCATCATTCTAGACACATTTAACATTATCTTCATTCTGATTTTCAGGTTCCTTGTGTCAGAAATTCTATAAAACCTATGAGATTGTCCAGGATTAACATATTAGAATCATTTTAAACAGCTGTCTGCAACCAAACCGGATTTACATTATTGAAAAGTGATTCTAAAGAGTCTACTGGGAGTATTTTTATTTGGACTAGTCTAGTTTATTTAATTCTACATAACCTACTGATTAAAACCCCTTTGCTGTTGTTTATGGCTGCTTTAGTTAAATGAACACCTTTAACAGGTCTCTCTCTGTTGAGTTTGTAGCTTTATTGATTCGGTGATGTTCAGGTCGCTGTAGAAAACAGAGACCATGCTGAAGGTTTAAAATAAAGGTAGTAATTCTGATTATTGTGATTATTAGTCTTGTTATTCAGTCACTGTGAAGATTTCGACGCTATTAAACAGAACAATCGCGCTTCATTTACAGACAGAAAACGACCTACTTGTCCTCGTTGTCAGACATGCTGCTGTTCCTGTAGTGTCACCGACTCAAAAGAAGAAAGGATAATAAACCAAACTGGTGTAAAATAAACTAAATTATTCAACACTTTATAAAGCCACACCGCGAGAAACGCTCCCCTCGCCTCGCTCGGTGTTCACTTTTAATATTTCCGTGCAGAAACACGGTCAGCACATCTAACGGACCCCTGTTCCCTTTTCTTCTTCTGGTGGATTTACAGACTGAGAACCAACAGGAGAGGAGCTCACCGCCACCTACAGCCCTACAGAGGAACAGGACAGATAATAAACCGAAATGGAGAAGTTTCTCTGTTAAAGAGAAACATGCCGACCCCGAGTTCTTTACATTGAGGATGATAATTCATCTCAAAACTATTCTAAAACAGTGTCCCTCTACATCAGACAGCGTGTTCACAATCATTACCTGTAATATCGTTCTGTGAAGAGGCTTTTAGAGGCATTAAACTCTGCAGACGTCTGGTTCCTATCACCACCACTGTGAACCCTGTGAACCACTCTGGATGACCTTGTTTACATCTTAGCCATTTAAATATGTAAGGATTTTGAAAATTAGACGGAATCCCTGTTTAAATGGAAATCCCAACTATTTTTCAAAAGTTGTCTCTGTTCTAACTAAGTCAGAATTGTTCACAGCAGAATTAGTTTTCTTTTCTAATATGTTCTTCCATACTTAGCCTTGGTACGGCTCTGTACCCAGCCTTACAACACTGCTTGTATTTTTGGTCCATAGTTCTTTTATCAGAATAAAAAGGATAACTTAACTAATTAATCAATCAGTAGCTCGGTCTCTTGCTTCTAACAAAATGTGCTTATTGGTCATTTAATAATGAACTGAGTTCTTGGTAATGCTCATATCTCTATTACTATTATTTACTGAATCCACAAACAGTAACATTAAGGAGAAATCCTTTTATTATTACCAAATGCATGCTTTGATGTGAATGGTGACTTTAATTTGTAAACATAGGACCACTGTATGATTCCTCTGAACTCAGCTTCAGAGAGATACTGTAATTTACACTAAAGGTGACCTGCAGTGTTTTTATTCAAATTCTTTGTCTTACTGACAGAAAATCATAGTCTTTTCCACAGTGCAGATTTCAGACTAATTTCTCCACATTTCCACAGATCTCCACGTCATTATTGCTCAGTAACAGTTCAGTGCTCAGCTCAGGCTGATGGAGCTGCTCCTTTTCTCCTTCCTGTTAGAGCCTCGAGCTTTCAGCGCCTTCAACATCTTCAGCGCTCGTAGGGGCTTCAGGTTACCCCCAAAACTCAACAGCTGGGGTTTGACGTGTCTGTAGAAGTCTGGAGAGACAGAGAGAGAATGTGGTTTTAAACTAAACTCAATTGCTGTGTCATTTAAAAATCACACCACTAGATGTCACTGTAACTGAGGTTTAACTTTTTTTTTTAACTGAAGTTTAGGGCAAATATGATATGAAGCATCTCCTCATCTCAGATATTTTAATATATACTTAGCCCAGTACTGTGATGTTGTGTAGGCGTCAGGCAGGTTTTAATTAATGACAACATAAAAACAAACCATTGGAGGCTGTGTTACTTTGGAGACAAAATTGAAGCAGAGGCTAAAAATATGCCATGAGCACGACTGTAAAATTTTTTGCTATTTTCTATTCTTAAAATAATCATCAAAACTATGTAATAACACATATGGAATTATACAGTCACAAAAAAGTGCTATGCAAAACCAAACTGTCTTCTATTTTAGAGAGTTCAGTAGTCCCTCTTTGCCTTGATGCAGCTTTACACACTATTGGCGTTCTCTCAAGCAGCTTCATGAGGAGCCAAATGAGATGCCCGTGTCAAACACTGCTTAGAGGGGAGTTTTCCTGATTTTCAAAATCAGTGCATGATTCAATTGTTAAGAAAGTGTAAACAAAGTAATTCAGAGTGGTTTGATGTAAAATGATTTATTGTAGAGAAACTTTTAGAAACAACTTTTAGAATGTAGCCATTTTATTTACTGTCCAAAACAAACCTACATGTCTTCGCAAACCTACATGTCTTCTGAGTTTTCATATGTAGTATTGATAGAGGTAAAATAGTGGTATATAGTGGTAATAGTGTTTCTTTGGGGACCTGCATATCGCTGTTGTCAGATGAAAACATTGCATCTCCAAAAAGATAACTTTACAGGAGAAGGACAAAACCTACTTTACTTTTAATGTATATATATATATATATATATATATATATATATAGAAAGAGAGAGAGAGAGAGAGAGAGAGAGAGAGAGAAAATGTAAAGGACAACAAATTTTAAATTATGTCAAAAACTGAAAAATTACACAAATGGAGATACGAGGTTTTCTTCCAGCAACAGCAATATAACCTTCTCAGTAAAACAATGTCCCAGACATTAGGCAGTGTATTCATAACCATTTTATGTAATAACTTGCCGTGATGGAGCTTTAATGGCATTAAACTCTTCAGATGTCTGGTTCCTGTCACCACCGCTGTGAACACTCCTGACTCTATGAGTTTAACTAGTACTGACCTTTTCACACCAAACCACTCTAAATGACTTATTTATATTTTAACCATTTACACACACACACACACACAGACATTTTCTAAACTGCTGATCCTTCTGGGTCGTGGGGGGGCCTGGAGCCTACCCAGCGGTCATTGGGCGGAAGGCAGGATACACCCTGGACGGTCACTTTAACTATTTAATTATATAGAAATTTTGAAAATTTGGTCGAATACTCTTGGCATATATAAGTGAGACAAATATATAACAGCAAAAGCACTGAAACATTGCAGTGTGGGCATGTAAAAAAATCTCTCACCTCTCTTTTTGATCACAGCATCCAGCAAATCATCCTTCTCCTGCTCCCTAACACACACACACACAACAACAACAGCAGCAACAATAATAAAACATCAAAATACCACAGTCTATGATTTTATTCACACATCAATTTGGGGATTTGGGCCAACGCAGATATTTGATATTTTTCATGTATTTACCTGTTGAAACTGGGACTACATCTACCTGGACTAGCATCACAGAGAAATATTACAAATGCAGCAAAATTAATAAAACGCAGTCATTTTAGCACATAACTTCATTTAAATAGCACTTTTCATACAATACAGTTCAAAGTGCTTCACATCAAGAAAATATAAACCTGATTATTGATCTGCACAGCGCTGTAATATATGTGTGTTGGCTACACTTGAAAGTGTAGACTGTAGTCTACACTTTCAAGCCGTGTACAACATGCAGACCTACTTCAAGGGCTCATGGTTTAAATGTGTGCATTTGGTACAGACTTGTGCAATGTGCAGACTCTCCATGTACCACACCTGGTGTATCGGGCGTACTCTTTATATAAATGAGCTAACTGGCTGTTCTACATTGGTTCATTTCAGATCGCAATCATTATGCAGCTCAATGAGAGGTTGAATTAATAAACAAATCCCCTGGAATACGGGATAAGAGGTCACACCCCTCTGTTCACCAAAATTAGAAATGAGACACGGCCCTCGATTAGCCTTGTGATGATGTTTCTGACCTCTGTCTGTCTTTCTCCTGGCTGCTGATGATGTCATCACGCTGCTCAATGATGGCCACAAGCTCAAAGGTCAGCTTCTGCTCACTGATCTCATCATCCCGAGTCCACTCTCGCTCTAACACATGCACACAAACAGAGGAGTGATGAGAAGAGTGGGGGACAGATGAAATCAACACTCCACTACTGGGTAACTCAAATTTACCCAGTCTCCCCCTCTTACCCCATGTCAAATGTGTTAAATCAGCCACCATACATGTCAATATAAGTGGCTAATTAACTGAAATGTGATTTGTTAAAATGATAGTTTGGGGTGCAAAATGCATGTCTAAATCAACACGCAGTTGCCTTAAACCATGTTGAGTTCATAAATAATCTCAAATAGACATGAATACACATTATATGGCAAGCTTTTATCTATGAACATGCTTCAAGATCACTGCTACTACTGTTTATATCTTCATATTTGGGAAGAGAAGAGTCAGAAAAGACAAGGAACTGCTCATGATATAAAGCATGCCACCTCATCTGTTAAGCATGGTGTAGATAGTGTTATGGCGTAAGCATGTATGGCTGCCAATAGTACTGGTTCCCTTGTATTTAATGATCATTTGACTGCTGACAAAAGCATCAGGATGAATTCTGAAGTGCATAGGGCTATATTATCTGCATAGATATAGCCAAATGCTTTAAAACCCAAAACTTCACTGTGCAGATGGGCAATAACCCAAAACATACTGTAAAAGCTATCATTTAGATGTAAATACCCTCAAGTTAAAGCTCAAAGTCTGAACTTTTTGTTTAATTTCAACTCCAATATGCTGTGGTAGTCAGCAAAAATAACAATACTTTGTTGACGGGGGGACATTTCTTAGAGGAATGTCTGCTAAATCATCAGAAAACTTAGCAATGCTCCTTGGCAGTTATTTCCAATCATACAAGACCAGACCCCATTTTTTGTGAATGGGGAGAGAGCCAAGTTAACATTAAACATATATGAAATCACTAGTAGGTAGTAGTAAATACTGCTAAAATAGCTTGCAGCATTTGGCTTAAATAGAGCACAAAAAACCTATTTATTTATTTATAAAGTACTCTGTACTGTGGTGTAACTGTTATTGGCATAGTGACTGGTTTATGCATGACTGGACAAAATTGTGTGTGTGTTGTTACCTGGTTTGTTGAGGAGGCTTCTGAGTTGGAACTCCACATCTGCCTGCTTCTGCTCCAACTCCTGCTGCTTCAAACTGTAACACACCAATAATCACAGAAACCATTTTTTCTGTGACAATCTTATGAATGAACCACAGGGCAGCTTTGTACTGACGTGAGTATGTGTGTGTGTATGTGTGTACTTACATATGTACTAGTTCAGCATCTCTACGCACCAGCGTGTGTTTCTCGTGTATGAGGGTGAACCAATCCACCAACAGCTCCTCCTCCTGCTTACCTACATCACATATTTATAAACTGAATTTATTAACTTATACAGGAGAAATACATTTTCTAACTTTAGAGCTCATTAGTACATTATACACATTACAGTTGAAGAATAAGAGAAGCAGTGACTTTTCCACATCCTCTATTACAAATATACACACACACACAAACTCCAATTATTATCATTCATAAAAATTACTACTAAATGAAAACTAGCAGTGAAAAAGAATTTGTTAAGTGTAATAAAAATGAATGTAATACAATCACAAAAATAACTTAAAAACTAAATAGTATTAATTAAAAAGTATATAGTAGAATAAGTAGTACTACAAAATGGTATTACACAGAAATAGTGATAAAGATGTGGATTCCTTCTATAGTAAATCCTTAATACTCAAGAGATGGAGAAGACTTTGAGTAAAACTCCAGCTCAGCTGAACATAGTTTAGCACCTTAATTTAGCACCAAGAAACTCATCAGAAAGAAACAATATCCAAATCCAAGTGGAAATTACAGCTCGGTTTCTGACAAAATATTCACTATAATACTAAAAAGTAAAAGATTAAAAACTCAACAAAAATTAAGCACAGTAAAATGGACTAAAATTAAACCGAAATGTCTAGTTAAGGACACAATGTGTTGCTTTGAGAGTGTACAGTGGCACCATCCTCTCTGCTCCTCATTTTTTGTTAAAGTAAAATAGTATGAGCCATCTTGAAGCCTGAATTGGTTCATACTTACTTCTCTTTTGAGTGCCATCGGAGGCTTCCAGGGTAAAACCAAATTGGTACATTAAAAGATATATTAGATATATTTTTATTACATAAATGTAATGTAGAGAGAACATGGTCCCATTTCAATACATTTTTTATATGATCTCTCCCATTTCAACTCACCACAAAGTCACACCTGCATTACATAAGTGGCCACTTGTGACAGAGGTGAGGAAAGGACAGTGAGGAACGCACTCGCCCTCTGCAGGTTAGCCTGAATTATAAGTGACTAGCCATATAAAATGTTTTTTGAGAAGTGTGAACATAATGTACATAAAATTTGTGAACAGTTGCTTTGTCTTGCTATAAACTTGGTGTAGAGCTGTAGTTTAGTGCCTTTTCTTTTGTTGTTGAAGCTGTATTAGCAGTCATGTACAACAGTTGGAGTTTGTAACCCAGCAAGCCCAGATAATTGAATGTTATGGTTTTGTATTATTAAGTACTTTATTGTTAGGGCTTATAAACAGCTTTATCTACCATTATTTTGGGGTTTGAAAAGGGAAATGCATCAAGTCACACTAGGTCTTCACCAACATCTTCCTAAGTTTTTTCTTAAATTTGTTCTTAAAAAAAGGCCCTTAGAAGTTCTTAAACAACAGGATTGTTCACACCTTCATGCTCTTGATTGTGCGTAAAGTATGTTCTTACTTAAGAACAAATCCCAAATAAGTAAACACTGGTGAAGGTCAGAATCTCCATAAAATTGCATAAGTGGGTTTTAAGAACATATTTCTCTTTAAGAATGCTTGGTGAATGAGACCCATTGATATCTGGGTTCTACTGCTTCATCCTGTCCCTCTAAAGACTCATTTAACACACTGCACTAGAGCTAAAACTTAGTGGAACAGCCCTTTAGATGGCATCAGAATTCACCCCAAGGGGAAACAGTGCTTTATTAAAAATGTTAAATAAATGCTGAAATGGGCAGCTTGAATCTGACCTGGTGCGCACTTGTGAATCTTCTTCTCCAGCTCCTGTCCTTGCCTCTCCAGCTCCTGCAGTCTGTCCTCCAGCACCCCCTGCTGCCTCTGCAGCTCCTCTTCAAGCATATAACCGTCTGCCTGAACCTGATACATAGCATGGTTTACTGCATTTAAATAAATACAAACACACCTTAATGAAACCTCACAGAGCATAAAGACTAGTGTTTTATCCAGTCTGAGGCAAACTTCGGATATCAAATTCTAACTCAAAATGTCTTGGCTGATCGACAACATTTAAGGTAAGGGATGAAATGTGTCGATGTGATTTTGTGATTGGTAAACCATTTCTTTAAGGGACTTTGTTTCATTGTAATAAAGTGTCGATAAAACCTGTCTTTTTTCTCTGAAAGAGACCAGTCTGTCCTGTTGTGCGCTTTACTTTTGAACCTGGGCTACATTTGTTGGAAAATCTGCCTAATCTGACAACACATTCACACACAGTAACATCTGTAAGGTCCTGTACAGCAGTGTTTCCCTTCCCTGATCCCGGAGAACATTTATGGATTGGTCTTACACGCTCTCAGAAATAGTGGTATGGAACTGTCACTGGGGCAGTACACCTCTTGTCACTGGGGTGGGACCCTCAAGGGTACACCTCAGTACCTTTAGTCAAGGAACATAATTGTACCATAATCCATTGAAATGATATTTTTTAAGATGTACTGACTGACGGTACAAATACAAACTTTTCACTTGGGAAAAACAGATTCACAACTGGACCTTAAATAACTGTTGTACCTTTGAGGGAACATTTACATTGTTTGTACCTTGATGAACGAGAAATGTACCTGCACAGAACCTTTATTTCTAACAGTGTAGCTCAGTGCACCTCAAAATCATCATTCCTACATCCTCCTTTGATCCACAAATTGACCACTATCTTTAAGCATGTAAAGCTTTATAGCATAGTCAGACCCACTTCCTGCCCTTTTCCTATTTAACCCATTATACCAAATACAAGCCTGCAAAACAGAGCCCTCAATGAATCGAAGTGAACAGAGCTAAGTGGCTAAAATTGTAAAATATATTTCTAGTTAGTCATGCAAGAGCATCTCTTAATTTTAGAAAAGCACAAGAGCATATTACAAATAAAAAAATAAAATCAATAAAAAAAATAATTTCAGTTTTTAAATCTTCCATTGCTGATTGTTTGGGAAGCTGCTCAGCTGTTTGGCTGAGTAAAGTGGTTCTCACCAGTTGACTTCATCAAATCATCATCAAAAAAAGGACACTAGGTGAGGTCCATTTACCTTTAGTGCAGGGGTTAGCAATATGCGGCTCCGGAGCCGCCTACAGCTCTTTTACTGCCCTGTTGCTGCTCCACAGCAGAATTAGATTTTTAGATAAAAATAAAATTATTCTCCTTTGCAGTAAAATAAAGATAAGAAAGATAGAATAAATGAAAGATAAGAAAGATAACAATAAATGACCTTGACGTTTCCATCAATCCCCCCAAGTGACCGCTAGGATAGGCTCCAGCACCCCTCTGCGACCCTGAAGGATAAGTGGTTTCAGAAAATGTGTGTGTGTGTGTATGTGACACAGAAGGTTGCTGTGCAGACTGCTGATCACCACAGCAATGCAGACAAGAATCTCACTGAACTAGTAGCTAAAGAAAAGGCAAAGAGAAAGATTTAAGATGAACATCGATAATTTGGAGACGACTGAACTTATTTGCGTTTATAAGCACTCAGCTGGTTTCCTGATACGTTTAATCTGCAACAAGAAACTGTCTAACGCTAACAGGTTGTGAAGCTGAAGTCAGCTTCTCGTTCAAATTTTCCTGTTCCATCTCAAATGGCACAGCAGTTACATTCTGGCACCATTTAAGGTGGAACGGAAAAATTTGAACAAGAAGCTGGTGAATGAGAAGTTGACTTCAGCCGTAAAAAGTGGAACTTTGAGAGACATTCTAGAAGAAACTATTCTACATTTGCTTAAAAGTTTCTTGCCGGACATGCGAGAAAACGACTACAGCTGAGCTAAAGCTTAAAGCAGAGCAAAGTAAGTCTGCATTTCCTATATATTATATTTTTAGCCTATGCCAGTACATTAGCACGTACTGAGACAGATTTACAGCCAAGATGGTAAAATGGACATAAAATGTTGTAGCTCCCAAGGTGATTTGATTTTTACTGAAAGGACAAAATGGCTCTTCTTAACATTTGGGTTGCCGACCCCTGCTTTAGTGTCTTGCTTCTTTTTGCATAGTGGCAAGAGTGAAGAAACCTGTTAGCAGCACTTATACTGGCTCTTAATTGTTATGCAGCCTATTTACAATAAAAATAAAAATGTCACAAAAACTGTTGTTATTGTCTTTATTGATGAGGAATTGTCACTTGTGTTTTCAGAAAATACATGTCTTACCTTCCTTCTAATGAGTGGGAAGCCATGGCCTGGGGCACTAGTTTGGGTGCTGCTGGGAGCTGTAGTACATCTGTGACTGAAAGAGTCCACTGGCGGCGCTTTAAGGTTGAAAGGGTTTTCTTTACAACTCTTCTGCTAATGAGACATTGGATACACATGAGTGAATATATAAAGCAGCATATATAGTAACAGCCTAATGATTTTCCTCTAACAAATTTTATACATTAACACTATATATGTCAATATATTTGGCTAATAAATTGAAATGTGATTTGTTAAAGTGATCACTTGCCCCAAACCATGCTGAGTTGTTAAGTAATCTCTAATAGACTTGTCTATGTAGTTTCTGGCACTGTTTAGCATTCTTTTAGCTATAAACATGGACAAATGTACACTGCATAGCTAAAACAGCAGTAGCAGTCATCTTTAAGCTTGAATGCCATCATGAAGAAACTACATGACATGGTCTGAAGGAAGTGTGTGATGATTTAAACATGCAGTTTGCACCACACTATTTGGTAGGCATAAGCTTCTATTACTGGTTAGCTACATTAGCCTTGTAGCTGTACGTCAAATCTAAAGACAAAAAGTGAAAAAGTGTGAACTGCTTTTTGTTGCTAGCTAACGTCAAAATCATTAGCTGCGTTCCAAAACCTAGGCTGCAGCCGAGGTAGGCTGCATTTCTCAGCTCCTAGATCATAGCAGGCTGTTCCAAAGTGAAGGACCCTTCGTATACAGCCTAGAAATGCAGCCTACGTTCTGAGTGATCTCGAGGTACATCAGATGTATCCTTCCAAGCCTTCGGTTATCCACAGTTCTCTGCGCATGAACAATGCAAACGAGAAAAAAACAGCACACAAAGGGGGGAAACAAAGCCGTTGAAGCAGAGCTTGTTTTAAACTGTAAGTTGTTCACATACTTGAATTTGTTTTCATTACCTTATAAAGTGTAAAATCACTGATTAATTAAAGCATTCGTCCATATATCGTATTTTATTTAGAAGTATTTGTACATATGTAGTTTATCGTACTACATAAGAACATCTCTTCCATTTCGGTGAAGAAATGAAAAAGCAACAAACACAATGCAACGGGCTCCATTTTCTCTCACCAGTTCCCTCACAAGTTTCGCGCCACTCTGGCGACGTCACCACGCAGCCTCATTAGGACTGTTCCATTTGTGTGGCCAATCGGCTACTAAGGAGGAGTCTCCATAGGACAGTCCTACTGAGGACCCGCACTACCTCGGCTGCAGCCAGCCTAGGCTTCGGAACGCAGCTTGTGTGTTTCCTTAAAATGTTAAGTTCATAATGTGTACATTGTTCAAATTTAAGAACAAATGTGTGCTCACCTTTGTTTCAGTAGGTGGTGGTGGTTGTAATGATGATGATGATGATGAAGATGAACTTCTTTCCTCACAAGAGGATGTCTGTGGCAGTAGACAGCTTGCTTTCACTCGATTGGCTAGGAGATGTGATGAGGTGGGACTATTAGTGACACAAGGCTTGTGATTGGAAGATGCTAACTCAGGACTAGACTGAGGGAGGCTGTGTTGTTGAGCTTGGTTTGTTTTTAGCCTTTCACTGGCTGCTAAGTGCGAACTGGATGCTATTTCTGACTGTTGTAAAACAACTGCTGATTCTAATTTAGCCTCTGCTGGGTCATATGTCTCTGGAGCTAAATTAGGAACACTTGGTAAACTAGCATTCTCAGGGAAACCTGAAACAGTAGGGCAGCTGCATGCCTGGGATACGTTAGCCACACAGCTAAACTCTGCTACACTGCTAACATCAGCCACACTGCACTCAGTCTGAGCAGAGCAGGGTTTGGCCTCACTGAGGGAGTCTGCTAAACATGAACTTCTTTCATTCAGAGTACAAAGTTCTAGTTGGGAATCAAGTAAGCTACTGGTTTGGGTTGCAGCACAAACATCTTCAGAAGATACAGCAGCAGCAACTAAGCACAGCACTTCTGAATTAGCAGTTAAACCCTCATCTGGCTTGGAGTCTTCAGAATTACCAGAACTTATCCCTCCATCTTTAGTACTCAGATATCTATTTGTAGACACTTCACAAACATTAGAACTAGCATCTTCACCTAATTTAGGTAGTTCAGAATCAGCAACACTAACATCACCCAATCTAGAAGCTTCTGAATCATTTAGACTAAGGCTGCCTAATCCAGACACTTGAGAATCAACAACACCATCACTGTCTAATCTTGACATCTCTGGAAATTTAACCATTCCAGTGGCACTTTTAGCATTAACTGAAGCAGCATCTGCTAGCTGACTAGCACTACGCCATGACATCCCATCATTTTTGAGGCCTTCATCTTCCTCCTTTTTTTCCTCAAAGGGGTTAAAAGGAGAGGACCAGCGGCGAAGCCACAGCTGGCTGAGGGAGGGGATGGAAGCAGGGTGAGTGGGCAGAGCAGGGGGAGGAACAGGTGGTAGTTTGGCCCAGGGGCCAGGCTGGATTAGTTCCATCCATGGATGATCTCTGGGCTTATAGCTTTTGCTAGAGGCTGGGGTGTGTGTTTATGTGTGTGAGAGGGAGGGAGAGGGTGTGACATCAGTACAAAAGAAATAAAGAGAAAAAAAACAGTGGGGTCAAAATTGTTATATAGTCAAACTGCAAAAGAAAGAAAAACGAATGAAAATGCTAGTTCATTTTATAGTAAACTAAAGAAGCAAACTTCAGACACCAAACATATGTTGTCTGACAGACTGCATTTGGGCTAAATTTTGAGATATCCAGTGTGTGATGATTTTAATGCTATTTGGGTCACGGAATTCTCTAGTAGTAGTCCAGTCAATGCAACTGGGTTTGTATAGGCTTTAACCCTTAGACAAAGTTATTGTTGTTGTTTTGCTAATGCTACTTCTAATTATTTAAATGTAATTATGTACATACATAATAAATTACAATTTGTTACATAATACATAACAATCAGTTTATATCCTACATTGACAGGTCCAAGCCTGCACTTCTGAGTTATCCATCCTGTTCGTTTTCATCAAATAAATGACAAAAACATTGCACACAAAACAAGACTGTACACCCAACTATAACATTTCATCAAATTTATAGTAAAATATTGCATGTTAGCTTGTAGCTAGTGTGTTAGCTTGAGGCTAATATTAGCTTGTGGTTAGAGCACTAGATCAGGACAACATAAAGCACAACTTTTGTTTTACATATTGTACATTTATAATGTTCAAAGCTCTAATAAACTAAAGAACGTGAACACATCAATGCATATTTTTAGCCACTTCTCATTTTTGTTACATTGAAAAATGTGTCAAATTGATACTGTATTACATCAAATCAATTTCTGAATTTTGTGAGTTGTTACACCCCTACAGCTTTTCTATTGCTAAAGAATCCACAGTAAGTACAGAAACCTTACCGCTGTCAGAGGGACAGTGTTTAGCTCTGGAGTGCCGTCTCCTGGGTGGAGGTTTTGGTCGTTCTCCTGCTTCTCTTTCTGAGCATGGAGAGAAACCAGCTCCTCCATCAGTCTGAGAATGACCTGCAGGTTTATCCTTCCATTCTGTTTTTCCTTTCTCTGTGTTCTGCTCTGCTGCAGGATGTGTTTCTCCTGCAGGTTCAGTGCTCGGTGTGTGTGGTAAGCTGTGGGTCTGTAAGGTTTTGGAATGGTGGTTTTGTCTGTAGGAGCAGCAGGGATTTCTGGAGGACATCAGGCCGGTTTCCTCATCTTGTCTGAATGAGTTAGGCTGCAGAACACAACCACATCAGCTACACCTGAAACATACACATGCATCACAATACACGTGTAGCGATTGATGTGCGTAGATATGTGGTATTTACTGACCTTGAGGAGACTAACTCACCATAACACCAGCAGCACGCTTTCATGTCTATATACTTTGTATTTGATTTTGATTTGAATATGACTACAGAGGACAGAGGACCTCACACTCATTCAATCCAGCATTCTTCTTTATGTATTCTGCTTGTTTACATTTTCCAATATTCTTTTTCACCTGCCATCATGCACACTGATATAACTCAATATTATACGGCCTGCTAGCTAGCAAGTAGCTAATACGTGACAACAGTGTAGGAAATACATAAATACATCAAAGCACATTTGAATTTATATAAAAGTATGAAGCTGGGTCTGATGACCATATTAACACCAACAACCATGGTTCAAGTCAAGTCAAGAGATCCTTTGTATGATTATTTTCTTATTATTCCTTCAAGAAAGAACTTTAATCTTTTAGACATGAGGCATTATGAAATAAATGCATTTCTAATGCTATACTTACATATTTTAATATATATATTTTATTACATTTACGAACTGGGTGAAGCAGTGTACGAAATATACGAAATATAAATAAAAACAGCAAGTGGTGATTTGTAAGTTAACTTTGACCTGCATTTAAATAAAATATTTAGTGCTTTACCTCATCAACTTCATTGTTTTTTTTTTTTTTTTTTTTTATATAAATATATGCTCATTCTGAAACTGATACCTACAACATTCCAAAAAAGTGGCACAGGGACAATTTAAAACTTTGGACGTTGTAAAAAAAGGGTCATGAAATAATGCTTGGGTATAAAAAGAGCACCCAGCAAGAGTCTAGTCCTTTATGAACAAGGATGGTTCAAGACTCATCACTTTACCAAACAATGCCTCACTGAATAATCCAGTATAGAACAGTATAAGTTCCTAAACAAGTGATTACAAGCATTTTAGGTACTTCACCCTCTACAGTGATTAATATCATCAAAAGATGATGGATGAATATCACCACATAGGCTTAGGAATACTTTAACAAACCATTGTCAATAAACACTGTTTGTCTTTGCCTCCACAAATACAAGTGAAGACTGTACTATGCAGAGCAGACGTCATAAGCCAACAGTGTCCAGAAAATGTGTACTGTAGTCTGATAAGTCAACCTTTCATAAGATTGAAGTTCATAAGCCAGGGTCTGTCATGGTTGAGAGGGGTGCAAGTTCCTGTGGCATGGGTAACTTGTACATCTGTAAAAGCACTACAAACACCAAAAGATGCATGCATATTTTGAAGCAACACATGTTGCCTTTTAGACCCCATCTTTGTCAGGAATTTCCATGCTTATTTTAACATGACAACACAAAGCCACATTCTCCATGTGCTACGACAGCATAGCTGTGTAATCAGAGTGTAACACAGTGAAACATGTTGCAGGCATCAAATTTAAAATGAGCATATATTTAAAAAATAACAAAGTGGAATTGAGGTTTGTATATTGCTATACTTTTTAACAGCTTTAATTATAGAGTATACTGGGGTGAGGAACCCATTCAAAGCACAGTATACACACACCATTACATCACAGCTATATCTAAAACATACCACGGACTACAATCGCTGAGACGTTATTTTTAAATAAATGTGTTTTACCTGAAACAAGTGCTGAAGGATTTTGAGATACAAGGGTGTTACCTGAAGCAGGTGAGGTGGTCCTGAGCCAGGATTCTCTACATTATCAGCAGAAGAGAGTGGGAGAGAGAGACAGACAGAGAGAGAGAGAGAGCGAGTGTGAGAGAGAGAGAGAGAGAGAGAGGTGAACTGATTCTAGGAAAAAGCTGATGGGGTATGGTGTGGGGAATGTTCACTTGGCACACTTTGAGAGTTGCAGAGAGATTTTTTCCCTTTTTGTCCTTGTCATCATACTAAATTAATCATTGTTTCAAACCTGCCTAGTTTCAATTAGCTACAATAACATAATAAAGCTCGTCCATCCTAGCAACAGTAGCTATGAGAAACCCCATTCATGGTGGCAGAGCTTAGAAAGATCAAATATAGAGAGAAATCTGAAGGTAAAAGTGAAAAGTCCTCTTAAATGTATACTTTACTGTGGACATGAACAGAATTTCAGCTGCTGAACTGACCTGACTCAGTTTTCACTGGTCCGAATAAGGTAAATGTGAATGGAAACTCAGTACTCACCAGTGTGTTGTTCTTGTAGAAGATTAGGTGTAGCAGACTGTAAATGGCGTTTGGAAAGCAGGCAGGCAGTGAACAGTGAACACAGTGGCTCACTCTTCTGTAATTTCACTCAGCCGCTTCATGGTGAAGGTCTTAAAGTCACAAAACTCCCTTTCACAGTACAGGCAGTTCAGATAAAATATTTTTTTCCCCCACTTTCTTTAGCAACTTATAAGCACTAGCTAGTTATTTTACAATTTGCCTAGTGAATATTTTTGATTTAGCTGTATTTTTATTATTAAATTTTATTATTTTTTATTGTTTTCACTTCATGGTATATTTACCCTGATCTGTGTTTATTACAATGGTTTTTGTTTTCATATTATCGCAGTGTGTTGATCTTTTCTTCCACACAAACACTGTATTGTACTTAAACCTGCACGTCAAATGAACGAAAGGTGCTACATTAATAATGTTATGGTTGTTGTCACCAGATTACAATTATCTGAAGTAATCGTAAAGCTGCCCTCAAAGGTCTTCGTTGTTGTTAACTTTCACAATTGCATGTTTATATGACCGCAAACATAACGTGAATTGGGTGCATTTTCATCCTGAAAATAAAGAAAAGTATTTATTGACATGTCATGGATCTTATGAAAACAAAAGCCTGGAGAAGGAAACAAGACTGCTGGAACTCTATTTGGCCACTTTAACATTGTACTGTAATAGTTATATACAACAAACGACAATACATAAGACAATTGTTATCACTGATATTATTATGAATGTTATTAATAAAATTATTAAGGCTGTTGTTCTTGTTTACATCAACAATCATAAAACTGCTTGCTGTAATGTTTGCTTCAGGTTCATGCTAATCTGCCATAAAAAAACATGCAATCATGGAAATGTCAGTGTTTTTTGTGATCATGTCATTATGGGATATAATATTGGGGATATAATATTGTGTTGTTATTACAAAATGTCAATTTATATATATATATATATATATATATATATATATATATATATATATAAATTATATATATATATATAAATTATATATATATATACACACATATATATATATATATATATATATATATTAGGGGTGCAGATTTTGATTCTTAGATGCATCGCGATGTGGACGTGAACGATTCTGAATCAATTCACAAATGTCAAAAATTGATTTTCTAAATATTTAATTCATAACGTAATGTTGACGGAACGCAAAAGGCGGAACTTGGAAGTGGGTAAGTGCAGCACCCGGACAGTCTGTGGCAGTCTCTGCATTAAAAGCCAGGTTAGGTCAGGAGTCACAACACAAATGATAAGAAGAGCCATTTTGTCCTTTCAACAAAAATCAAACCACCTTGGGAGCCACAACATTTTATGTCCAGTATGTGATAACGTCTTAGTATAGGCTAAACAATATAAACGAAAACGCAGATTTACTTTGCTCTGCTTTAAGCTTTAGCTCAGCTACTGCCGCTTTCCTCCCATCTTCGCCAGAAAACTTTTCCTCAGAAGTTGAGCAGCTTATTGTAAAATGTCTCTCAGCGTTCGACTGTTTTACGAGGCTGAAGTCACTTCTTAATCTCCAGTTAGTCCACACACCCGCGTTTGTAGCCGGGAATTTAAAAAAGATGTTCGTGAGCCTGTGTCCAAGACAGGGCAGCTACTGTAAAGAAGGGAGCGGTTCTGACGTTGTTTGAGTGGAACAATTTCTCCGGTCCACATTCAAGAGCTGTGGTTTGGGAGAGAACGCTAACGGCGGAGGCTGATACAACCCAGGCCACTGCACACCTCAGGCTGCATGTGGAGCACCTACGCCGAGTGAAAGAACACAAGTTCTTTGACGCTGAGATTCCACTCTGGCTTTTTGGTAATATTATTAAGCTTTACACTGTTGCATGTCTCCTGACAAACTATGAAAACGGGCCTCTTGTAAAAGCTTGGACAAAGAAGCCAGAATAGCGCTTATACATTACACTGGTTCCCAACCCTTGTCCTGGAGAACCCCCTGTACTGCACGTATTATTAGTGTTTCCCCTGCTTTCAACACACATCATCCAACTAATCAGCTGATTAACAAGTCCTTCATCACTTGAAGTGGGTGTGTTTGGAGCAGGGAAAATACTCAAATTTGTAGGGCAGGGGTCCTGAAGGACCAGGGTTGGGAACCTGTGATGTATTGTGTTTACGTTTAGTCAGCTGATGTTATCCAAAGTGACATCCTCTGCTGGGCTTTTCTGAACATGGAAGAAGTGTTAGCCTCCCACCACCTCCAACCCCAAAAAAGCCTATCAGAGGATGTATATTGTCTTGAAGACAAAATGTAAATCTTATAAATAGCAATTATCTATTTATACTTACATTAAATCTGTTTTATATTGTTCATTATTGAAAACTGATTTATTGTAATAAATTCTATTTAATTATTACTCAGTTTTTTTGGCCTCCTACCTGTCAGTCCTGCTCCCCTACATTTACACAAGAAAACAAAAACACTCCAATGCTAGTCATGTTTCTTTATTATGCTCTTAATCATTTCCTATATAAAATTGTTACATACATACACAAATGACATTTGTACAACAATAATAATAAAACAATGTGTTTAAATTGTATGTGGATACCACTTTGAAATTAGGAAAACTCAAGGCATGTTTAAAATTATGAAATGCAGTGCCTAACAGCAACATTTCACTGATGTTACAGCTGTAATTTACTGAGCTCTAATAAATGCATGAAATGATAAAATACTTTTAATTACTACTATTTACGATAAACAGTAAATGGAATTTGTCATTTTTTACAATTAATTAAGCTTACCTTCAAGTAAGTTCTATCTAAATCTATTTATCGAGGGAAGTACAGAGATAACAATAAACAAAGGAAATGTCAGTTTTTGGGGGAACAGAGGTGGGCTTCAGGTCAGAATAATGTGCAGTCTGGTACAAAAGTGCTGCCACATGGTTGCACAAAGCTGTACCTGCCACACAGATACACTGGCAGCTTTGTTTGTTCATATGCACTAAATGTATAAAGGCTAAAATTCTTGCCAAATCATTATTAATCTCACTTTACTCATTTAAAATAACAAGGAGCACAACTTAACACAATGGAAAAGAAGTGACAACTCAATCTAGTTTCTGTGAATCCCATTGTTTTTACAGATTTTTACACACTAGTATTATTCATAGGGTATCATATGAAATACGAACTAAAGTAACATTAGCCTTTATCAGTATTAGATTCATAGCATTGATATGATTCACAGAAACACAGGACCCTGTCTGTCTCATGAACCAGCCTGCACTGAACCTGCAGGATAACTTTCCCTTACGCACATTAATCTATTACTCTCAGCCCTAATGGTTATCTATCCTGTCTTTGAATCCTTGTTTGAAACTGAGATCGACAATAGCGTTGGGAAAAGTTTTTAGCAGTGACTGACACTCAGACACAGAACGTTAGCAGTATCGCTACACTAGCGTTTGCTAGTACACAAACACTGTAAGGGTTATGATTACATGGCCGGATCCTACCTTCATAAATGTGGATGTAGCTTCAAACAAATTGCTTGAAACCCTTCTCCTTCTTCGTTGCTGGTGTTTGGCATCATGCAACCAACGTCGTTGACCGTAAGTCTGGCCGTTTTGAAGCGACCAAGTGAAAAGCGCCTTAGCCAACGTGCTAGATACGAGCGCCGCAAGTGAAAGAGCTGGCTGACTCGGAATGTGGAACAAAAATCGTGCGTAGTTGCAAACGTCCCGTCTCAAAGATATTTTACTGACACAGCGACCTTCTCTACAACGAGACCAAAACCGAAGTTATAAAATCACTAGAAAACAGGTAGGACGGCTGTAATGCGCTGCGTGGTCATCCATTACCATTGGATCTTATTTCACCGTAACAGCGCATTTTATGAAAGGCAATGTTACATAGTGGTAAACATGTTCCTGTCCCAACTTTGCAACCTGAAATAATATCTGGAGGGCCATTACACAAGCGAGCACAAGTGAGTTAAAATATTTGAAGCACCATGCATAAAAGCACATAAAAACCAAAAAAGTTTTATAGTGACAAAGTACTTACCAAATTATGCTTTGTTAGCCATGTCACAGGCCAAGTGCTTCCATACAGATAATATCCCAGGGTACTGGCCAGATGAGCCCTCAGAACCAAGACAACAAGGTAAGGCCTCTAATGAACAACTGTGTAAATAACTATAAAAATAAACAGGGTAAGTTAATTGAAAATCAAGAAATAAAATAAATAACACACATGATTATATACTTTTTATTTATTTATTGACCAGAGTGATTCAGAATAAAATTTCTTTGCTGAAAAAAGTATATGAGCTAGAGGTTCATATACATTTTCTGACAGACATTTAATACTGGATTAATTAGTTTAATGAAATAATTAAAACAATAAAACAAAATAAGAGTAACAAATAATAAATATTACTGGTACATACCAATTTCCTTTTTCTCAGTGATGTCAAAGGTCCAGTCCTACCAGGGAAGCATTCAGGCTGCTTGGCTGGATGAAACAACACAGCACAGTAAAGTTACTTTTGACTAAAATCCAGTAATAGAACCCCCCATTTGCTAATTATTTATCAGCATGAATAGAGGAATATGATCTGTATTTTTGTTGTTTTCAAACATAAAAATATCCTAATTACACTAAATCCTCCTATATATAACCCTTACCAACACAAATAAAATGTCATCAGCACATATAGTGACTGCATACCTATTTGCTTTCAGTGATGTCACACAGCCAATTTCTCCATCAAGTCCCGCTATAAACCTTCACAGAACAAAGAAAGGTTTCTTTACAGTCATGTAAGTCATTAACATTACAATTAATTGAATTGTTTCTTACCAATACAGTAGTGCATTTTGCTCACTTTATAGATCTTCAGTAAGTGCTGACCATTTTTCCTCCTTCAGCTACTAAAGATAATCAAAGTGCCGGTTTGGAAAAACACCACTGTGACAATGTATCAGCAGGTAAAGTAAAGTAAGATTACAACACTGCACAAATGATGGTGACTTTATAATTGTGGGAATTCTCGCTGATCTGTACCTACTTTTTGCACAACTTGTCAGATTAACCTTTACTTCACTGCAAACAAACACATTTTTTAAATGCCTAATTTGTCATACTTACAAGCAGACCAATACATTTTCCCTGTTTTTATTAGGTAATGCACCTAGAATCTGTCTGTCTACAGGCCGACTAGTACCAGGTCAATGCACACGTAAGTTAAAGTAAAACCTATTCTATAAAATTGTTCTTAATTGTCTTAATTAATAATCACATAGCGACTAGTGAATTACCGTAATGTCGGTGTGTGTCTTTCCAGCAGCTGAGCGGGCCATCTTAGATATGCTGGGGGAACTGCAGGTCCAGGTCCAGCATCTAACTGCAGTTGTTACCCAGAGAGTGCCTTTTTTGGGGAACAACAGCCTGAGACAGACTCCACTGGCACCAGTAAATGCAGGGGAGGATGATGGACTCCCGCTGGAAAGCATCCAGGCCTTGAAAGACATGGAAATCTGCCTTCAAAACTTGAGCTTCAGGCAAAGAATGGTAATTGATTTTATTATTATCTTCCCAAACTTCCAAAACCTTATCAAAAATGTATACTGTAAATGTGTGGTGTACAGGTCAATTGGATGTAGAAATTGTAGTATGTTCACATGACTCACCAAACATTTTTGTCAATTACAGGTGTCAAAACTGTCACTGGCTGGGGGGCAAATGCTTAAAAAAAACTGTCTGGCAGATTTGTGCCAATAATAAGTAATTATAGACATACATAATGCATATATATATATATATATATATATATATATATATATATATATATATATATATATATATATATATATTTAAATGTTACGTACATATTTTTAAGGAGAAAATAAGCTCCAAAGAAATAAATTGTTACATAACTACAGTACATGCCAATATATTTTGTCCATAAATATTAAGCACCCCCAGTATCTCATGATTTTATACATAGGGGTGCAACAATAAACTCAGCCCACTATTCAATTCTTAAAACTGGGTTCACAATTTATTATTTCAATGATATTTTGAACAAATTCAAATTAAGAAAAATAATAACAAGCTTATAATCCAGTTTACTAATGAACGATGCATTGTCATATCTCCACAATGCACAATGTAGCATTTTTTGCATCGTGAGATCAAAATGTAGCAATCCACTGTTTACACCCCTAGTTATGAGCAAATTATTTTCAAGAAAAAAATGTTCAAAAAGTAAATACAAGTTTACTGCTGTTTGGAGCACTGGCATGTCAGGAAAAGCTTTCTGAACTTCGGAATTGATTTAGGTAATCCAATTGGATGTTTTCAGGTTTGAAATTTACATTTTTTGTAATGAGTTTAAATTAGGTCAGGGGTACCCAATCCTGATCCTTAAGATCTAACACTCTGCAGCTCCAACCTTATTCTAACATATTTGATCCAGATAATCAAGGATTTTGGGGGCATCAGAACCAGAATTGGGCACCCTTGGTATATACAATATGCAAAGACTGTAAGTACAAAGTATTTGTTTCATATAAAAGCACAGTCAGTATACAAAGTAGCCTGTGTAATTTTAGAGTGCTAAGCAAAACTGTTGACAACCGGAGTGCTGAGAATGACAATTCTTTCACCTTTTAATATGAGTGAATTTAATATGAGTGAATATATTCAAAAGGGGAAAAATCTTTATAATCATACAACATTAACCTATGTTGATTTCATATAAACAAATAACCTGCATTCCTAAATAGCAGAGCTCACAAAATAATCAAACATGAATCTATTTTACAGAAAACATACCCATAGACCTCTGTACTGGTATACAGATGAGAGCATACATATACAGTGCTGCTTGAAATTTTTTGCACCCATTGCCTTATGTGAATTTCTACTCAAATGTGATCTGAAAAGAAAAAAGAAGCCAATGAAACAGTGATTCATCATTAAATGTCTTTGTTGGCAAAAGTATGTGAATTTCATCTTAGGTTTTGCCATAACATTTCTAATGGATCTTTGACTTACCCATTCCAAAATGCAACATTTCTTCTGCTTCAACCATGCTTTGTAGACTAACAGGTGCTTTCAGGGTCGTTGTCTTTCTGCTGGACCTTCTGTTTAGCTTCAGGCCACAGATGGATGCCCTAACATTCTTCTGTAGAAATGCAGTCTTGATGCAGTCCAGAATTCATAGCTCCATCATATGATGGCAAGCCATCTCGGTGTAATTGCAGCAAAACAGCCCCAAACTATCAAACTACCATCACTGTGTTTCACAACTGGGATAAGGTTTTTATGCTGGAATGCTGGGTTTTTTCCCCATCTGTCCACATAACATGATTTCAGTGGTCTTCAGGCTCATCCAAGTGGTCTTTAGGGAACTTTAAACAGGCAGCAGTGTTCTTCCTGGAGCATAGTGACTATCATTACATACATACTATTCTTCACTGTTCTGTGTTTTTCTGATTGTGGACTCTTGAACTTTGACATTAGCCACTGTATGAGAGCCCTGCAGATCCTTGGATGTTACCCTGGGGTTCTGTGTGATCTCCCAAAAATCTCCCTTATTCTTGGGGTCATTTTTATTTGATGACCACTACTGGTAATGGTAAGTCTGATGTTGAATTCCCTCCATTTGTGCGCTGCCTGACAGTGGATCAGTGAAGTCCAAACTTTTCAGAAATAGTTCTGGAACCTCTTGCAGGTTAATGAGCATTGGTAAATGTTTTTATGGTTTTTATGAGGTCCTTAGGAATCTCATTTGACTGAGGCATGGCTTTCACTAAAAAATGTGTGTGGTAATGACCAGACATTGATGGTGAAGACTCAGGCTGATATTTTTAAATAGGGTGTGGTTGGCCACACTCACATGTGATTGTCATCAAATAATTGCTTATTTTATTTGTTTAATTGGGTTCTCTTTGTCTATTCTTACAACTTAAATGACAATCTGATCTCATTTTAGGTCAAACTTATAAAGAAACGCACATAATACAAAAGGGTTCACAAACTTTCAAGGAGCACTGTATATAAAGGTGTACCTGAATAAAATGGCCAGTAAGAGTACTGTGAAAGTGTACAAGAGATACAATTATACTAGCTACAGTACCAGTCATAAGTTTGGACACACCTTTTTTATTATTATTTTCTACATTTAGATTAACGTTGAAGACAACGAAAGTATGAAGGAACACATACAGGATTATGTAGTAAAAACCGGCTTTGCTGGTGATTTATTCAAAATTCAAGGCACACTTAACCAACATGGCTACCATATCATACTGCAGTGACATGCCATCCCATCTGGTTTGTGCTTAGTGGGACCACCATTTGTTTTTCTACATGACAATGACCCCAAACACACCTCCAGGCTGTGTAAGGGCTGTTTGACCAAGAAGCAAAGTGATGGAGTGCTGTGTGAAATGACCTGGCCTCCACAATCACCCCACCTAAACCCAATTGAGATGGTTTGGGATGAGTTGGACCACAGAGTGATTGAAAAGCAGCCATCTAGTGCTCAGCACCTCTTGGAAGTCCTTTAAGACTGTTGGAAAACCATTCCAGGTGACTTCCTCATGAAGCTGTTTAAGAGAATGCCAAGAGTGTGCAAAGCTGTCATCAAAGCATAAGGTGGCTACTTTGAAGAATTGAAAGTATAAAACATATTCTGGTTTGTTTAACACTTCAATATTAATCCACAAAATAATAAAAATAAAGAAAAAAACATTGAATGAGAAGGAATGTTCAAACGTTTGACTGATACTATATATAAATAAATAATCAACTTTTAGCTTCATCACTTTAGCAATAGCAGGAAAACGTTAAGGTTCCCATTGTCCTTTGTCCATTCTGTGAGCAATTTAAGAAAGGAGAATTTGCAAAAGGTCCAAAAACTTAGCCATAACATAAATTTAGTTATAACATTAACATTAAACACAAATCATTAAATATAGTGTTTCCGAACAATATTTGAAGACAGCTTTTTTGAAACTCTACAGACAAACATTGCCGCCACTCCCCTCAGCGTTCCACCAAAACATCGCCACGAAAATCTTCATTTTGCAGCTTATTGCACTCTTGACAAAATCCAAGGTACATTAGTATAGTCAAATGGAACGCAGCCTATGCTAGTAGTGCGCTCCTTTCTGAGGTACATGCAAATATTTTAATGTGGTGATGTATGACAAACGCATAAAAAAGAAATTTGCTAAGCAAAGTTCAGCTAACACAAAACCTAGCTAAAACTACTCAACCAGAAACCAGAGGCTTACATAGTTACCTACATACTTACATACATAGTTCAAGGACAACAACATTAGCTACTTTGCTATGCCAGCTGCCATCTAGAAGGAAATGTGCTTTGAGAAATAATTACCTGTATAGTGGAGGAGCTCGGCTTCACACTTCATTTCGGTAGCGTTGGAATGTTCACCGCTTTGTTGATCCAGAGGTTGACGCAGAGAGGTGTGGCTCAAATGCAAATATCTGGTGGCGATAGATCCACCCAGAACGTGTTAGTGAGCCAGCATCAGCCCATTTCACACATTTGTTTCTAAGGCTGGGCAGGTAATAAGTAATAAAACAAGTAGTGGCAGAAAAAAGATGTTTCTTCTGTATTGTCAACCGAAACTTCCAGTTAATTAAGTACAATTGCAGCGACTACAATTTTTAGGTTTTTACAATCATGAGCCTCCCCCCTCCCCACATATCCTACTTGTCGATAATAATAATAATAATAATAATAATAATAATAATAATAATTATTATTATTATTATTATTAACAATAATAAGAAGAAGAAGAAGAAGAAGAAGAAGAAGAAGAATTTAATGTTGATAACCTAATAATCACTACCCTAATAAAATAAACATTTTTTCATTACTAGCCTATTTAATAATCAGAAAAAATGGAAAATTAAACTGTATATGGGACAATGACAATAATAATAATAGTGTTATTAATAATAATACTAATAATTTAATAATGTATTAATGTTAATATTAATGTTAGAAACATGATACAATATTTTAATATTATGATGGATCATTAGCAGTGATTATTATATTTTATAATATTTTAAACTTATTACAACTATTATTTTTATTATTATTATTA